TCCCAAGGACAATTTTATGCTGTATATGCGCTTGATTTGTACCTGTCGTAATTGCTTGTGCTTCTGGCTGCTTACGGAATATATCTTTCCCACTTCCAACTCGGACTTCTAACTCTAGTTACCGGATCTAAGACGCATCAGAATAGATAGTTTATTGGTCTTTGGTCACAAGTCTTCGTCCCCTTCGCAGACTAGATGAACTCTTAATCGCTTCAAACATAGCAGATACAGTATGGAATTCTTAGTATAAAGTAGCTCAACAAGTTTACAACAAACCGCTTGCATTTTCCTGCCTTGACTGGTTTGACTGTAAAACGCATGGTCTACGGAATGAAAAAACCCCCGATCTATATTATCAGACCTTTGAATACCACAGTGACTGAGTTTCGTTAATCAGTCACCTTGATAACCGTTATTATATAAATTCTCACGTCGTTTGAGTTCATAAGGTAATGAGAAGCTGTGAATACAGTTTATTATTGTATAGCACAGATAACAAAGTTACTAGAGCATCGAGCGAATAGGAGCAGAGAGGCTGATGTGGGTGTGCGCGAGTAAATACTGAGGCAAATTCATAGGAAAATCTAGTCAAGGTGTAACGAAGCAAGGCAATGGCGATTGATAGGATTCGAGCATATATATATATATATATATATATATAGGCATTGGACCCTAACTACATGACCTTTGAACTTACACCTGTTACACCTCATGGAGGAAGTTCAAATCATCTAATTCATTCTGCGATGTCCATTGTATTCCGTGCTTCCCCTCAGATGTCGAAGTCTTCATAATCTAGACAATCACCAGAAGAAGGAGGAAGGGGTAGAGTAGACAACTTTATTTGACTCTGGTCCTTAATGGAGATGCATCTATCAGCTGTCCTCCATGCACGACTCTGCATTGTAGTCCGTCGTATGAGTTCCGGATAATGTTGACAATCTTCTCAGAAACTCTATAATGTCGAAGATGTTTCCATAATGTTCTCCGATCCACACTGTCAAACGCCTTCTCATAGTCAATGAAGTTGATGTATAGTGATGAGCACCACTCAAGTGATTGTTCGACAATGATCAGTAGCGTGGCAATTTGGTTTGTGAATCACCGATCTTTACGGAATCCAGCCTCTTGATATCGGAGCCGGGCGTCTACTGAGTCTTTTATCCAGTTCAGCAACACTCCGTTCCTTGGTATCTTGATGAGGTGTCCTTCTTTCCACCCCATCGGCACTTGTTCCTTCTCACATATCTTCTTGAATAGAATGTGAAGCATGTTTGCAGTTAGTTCTATGTCTGACTTCAGTGCTTCAGCTGGTATATTGTCAGGTCTTACTGCTTTCCCACTCTTGATTTGTCTGATGGCCATCCTGAATTCTTCGATCATTGGTAGAGCGACATCTATAAGAATGCCTGTAGGTATTGCTTCGATGTCCAAAGGATTGAATGGGGCTGGTCTATGGCACTTCCTTGAATTATTCTACCCATCTGTTCCTCTGTTCTTTTTGTCGACTATAATGCTCTTTTCCACTTGCTTGTTTGCCTCAGTGTATTCAGCTTGTGCCTTGACTTTCTCTGCTCTTTTTCGGCTGATGTTAACTTCTGTCTTATTATTATTATTATTCACAAACACCTTATGGGTACATAAGTGCTGTGAAGAAACCATTTCGGATTTCTTCAAAAATGCAATAATACGCAATTTTCAATAATGTTAACATTACATATGCCATGTTTGAGAAAGGAAGGAAAAGGAAAATAAAATATTAATAATAGAATAGTAATAATAGTAATAATAAATCAGGTTCTGAGTAATTAGCAAGAATTTCGGATTGATTTTGAAGAAGGAAAGGAAGAAACTAAGGAAATAGAAATAAAGGATACGCGGAATATGTAAATATCTTAACGCAGAACAAGAATAGAGAACTATGTATGTATAGCAAAACGAGTAGTAAAAATAAAATAAAACAGAATAAATTAATAAGTAAATAACTTATTATTGCAGTAAGATATGACGTTAGAATAAGTGTTTGTGCATGTGCAGTCATAGTTTTGTTGTTCTTCCTTTCTTGAATTTTATCCAGGATTTCCACACGGATCCATTCCTCATGACGACGATTCTAGTGGCCCTGCACCTCCTGACACATAGAAGTTAGTGCTTCTTCGATCCTTTTCCAGCTGTCTTTCATAGTTTCTTCTTTGATTAGAACCTGTAAGGCTTGGGACTTGTTGTTGAGAGCTAACTTGAATTCGTTGAGTTTGTCAGTGTGTCAAAGAAAGTCTGTATCAAACTTATATAGAGCTGTTTCTCCAGCTGTCCAGTGTTTCATTAGCCTTAGTTTCATCTTATCAACTAACGGGTGGTGATCTGAAGCTATGTCAGCTTCTCTCCTGGTTCGCACGTCTTCGATTGCTCTTCTGAATTTTTTATTAGTGCAAATATGGTCTATCTGCTTCTCCATGGTGTAGTCCTTTGAGATCCATGGATCTTTGTGTATAAGTTTGTATTGAATGACATTTATTTGCGAATCTCTCCCTATTTTCATTTTTCTCTCCCAGCCCATGTCGTCTCATGATATCTTCATATCCGCTGTTGATCATTCCCACTTTGGCGTTTAGATCTCCCATTAGGCTGATCAGGTCCTTTCCTGAACACGCTTCCCTGGTCGATTACATCCTCTCATAGAACTGATCATTATCGTCATGATTGCTATCATTGGTAGGTGCACAACATTGGATAACATTCATTGTGATTCCCTCCTTCTTTGTTTCGAATGATGCTTTGGTGATTATGGATCCGTGAGATTCCCATCCTACAAATGCATTTTGTGCTTCACTGGACAGCATCAGAGCAATTCTCTTAGTATGTGGAGTATCTTCCTCTTCATGGCCGGAGTACATCACCATGTTTTCCGTATCTGGCCTTTGCTGTTCAGCTTGGATCAGCTTGGGTTCTGCTGATTCCAAGTACTGCCTAGTTATACATCCTCATTTCCACAGCCATTTGACTGGTCCTCCTGGTCTTGCACATTGTCCGGACGTCCAGTGTATTGTTGCTATAGTTGCTAGAATGGGTGTAGGCCTCGTGACTTCCGAAGAATTTCAGCCTTCATCATGAGACATCATAATTCTTCCTTCACCTCTCAGGACAAAGTTTAAATGGTTTTATTTGTTTAATGTGGTTGGCGTTTTTTTAGCAAGGTTTGTTTTCTGCAAGATGGGGATGCCAAACGTTTTCCCAACACTCCTCATTTGCCCAGGCTTGGAACTGCAGAAATTCTAGTCGAGCTACAGGCGGAGTTTCGATCTTTGAAGTAGAGCATATAATTACTGAAAAGGTTCATATTTAAAAATTGACACGAGGAGAAGGCTGACGATGGAGATTGTGAGAATATTCTATTCAGTAAATCAGATGGCATGTCTCAGCCCCTCAGACGTGGTCATTCTGTATAACCTGTCTCAACTCTCCATAAGTCTAGAAGGTTGCAGGAAGAAAGAATTGTTAGGGAAACTGTTGAATGCCCTAAACGCTTGTATTTGTATTTAAACCAAAGGACTGAAAGAAGAGGAAATATTCCAGTACTATGGGGAGACAGTTTTGCCTTATCATTAGTAGAGGACCACTATGGCAAAGCTCAGGTATTCTCAAACCTCTTCAGCAATGTATATACCGTAGAAACACCCTATCTGTCAGTCCACACAGATCCCCTCAACACACACTGGAAAACGTGACAATCAAAGAACTCAACGCCTTTCTCTGTCAAATAAGATTGATATAGGCAAATTCACGGGAACTGATGAACTGCACCCTGGCTTACTAAAGGAACTAGCTGACTTCGTTGTGAACCCCTTAAATATTTATTTTATTCTACCTGTAACTTAGGGTCGATTACTAAACGACTGTAAGAACGCCATAGTAAGTTCTGTCTTCAAAACAGGTACGAAACATAAACCTGAGAACTACCGACCCGTTAGCCTAACTAGCATGATTGCTAAAATTTTGGAAAAGATTATTCGGAAGGAGCTGTTTAAGTATCTCGATGAGAACTGGATCATTTTGGCAAAGCATCACGGTTTAAGAATAGGTCATTCCTGTCTCACCAACATAATAATGGCTCGTGAAAGCTGGTGTGTTCTTAAAGACAATAATTTACCTATAGATGTAGCCCACGTTGACTTCAGCAAAGCTTTTAACAACGTTCCTCACAACCAACTGTTAGATTGGTTGAGAAATGTCAGGGTTGGAGGCAATTTATTAATGTGAACAAAAGACTTACCAGTTGGGCACCAACAAAGAGTACGGGTGAACTCCAAGTTGTCTAGCTGGGAAACTATGCCTAGCGAAGTGTCTCAGGTTACAGTTTGGGGAACAATGTTATCTCCCTTGTATGCAAATGACCTTCCTCATGTCATCACCGGTCTTGCCATATGCTGACGATGTCGAGATATGGAGAGCGATAATAAGTAAAGGTGATAGCTTAGAACTTCAAAATGCCATGAAGAAATTATGTGAATGATCCCAAACTTTGCACTTGCTGATAAATAATTCCAGGTGTATTGTGATGAATATTGGTTATCAGGGTACAGGTACATACAGGATGAATAACACCTAGCGACCTGTTGTCGAGACACACAATGACTTAAGGATCATCGACTTAAAAACTGCTTCACAATGCTGTGCGATAGCCGTCAAAGATTTTCGAACCTTATGGACAATACGTAGGGCCTATAGTCATATCATCGCTAAAATGTTTTTTGACTTTTTATATAGTATTCAGGCGTCCTAAACTTGAGTACTGCATACAACCGGCTAACCCCTGCTTAAAAATGACAATGAGACTTTAGAAAAGGTTCAGAGAACAGCAATTAAACTGAATTAACTAGGAGACCATTATTACCAAGACGGATACAGTACATCAAGACTCTTGTCCCTTCCATACTGAAACTTCTACGAACACTTGAAACCATTGGACTAACCAACCTTGTATCGAGGGGCTTTATACGAAGATGACGGTACCGGCAGAAAATGTGAGGGATGTACTATCTGTTAGAGGTTAGTTCTAGAGGTTGTCCTACCTAACATTAATAATCAAATGAAGACAGTTAACATTTTGAGTTTTGTTTTGATGTTGCACTGCTGAAACATTTGCATATTGCTTAGTGCTACGTCTCTTATCTAAAAGTGAATTTTCAGTTTAGTTATAATTTGTTTTAACCTAAAGATTGTTTATCGATATGAAATCTACTGGTCATTAATAAGAGACTGTTTTCCTCACCGAAATCTTCAAATAAAATAGAATACTATTGAGCAATGAAATTTTCATCCTCTGAAGTTTTTTCGGAGAGACTATGATGGCGAGACTATGATTTATAGATTTCAGATTCAGATTTGTATAATGAATCAGAAGGTACATGGTTTATGTCGTTACTTCTCTAGTATGCCTCTATGAGTGTCCAGTCTTCTTTTGAAGGAGTCGATTGAGGGTGTGGACATCACTGCTTCGAGTAACAGGTTCCAAGAATTGGTGACTCGGCGTGAAAATCTGTATGCCATAGGTATTTTGTTCGTTCTTGACCTTTCTACTCGCCTGCTATGTCTTTTGAGAGGTTCTGCTCTAGTGGGGAGAAAAAGAATATATTAGGCCCAAAATTATTCCTTAGTATTCTATACATCAGATTCAGATCACCACTTAATCTGCTGTAGGACAGGGTAAAAAGATCTAACTTTTCAGGCCGCTCTTTGTACGATAAATCACGGAGCTCTGGGATTGCACAGGTAGCTGCCCTCTGTACTTTTTCGAGGATATGCGAGTCACCTTTTAAACAGGATCTTGGAGCCTGATTTATTTATTTATTTAAATACATAAGTGTTGGTACAAATCGGCATCAAATATATATGCGTCGCACAAATCTCATTCGATTTGTGTGAGGGCTGTGATACTGCCCAGGTGTCCAAACTGAAGCAGGTGGTTTTCTCACGGGGCCACACCCGGAGCCTTTAAACTAAAGATCTGATCCACAAGGCAGTGGAGCATCGTAAGGAGATGCAGTCCCATGGTAGCCGTTGACCAATGACAGGTTCTTCCGCCATTCGTTCCATCAGGATACTGGAGCCCATGTGCACCGTTGGTTTGGAATCAGGGTTTTCCAACTCCCCTAGGTGGACCCTCCGTGTCCACCAATCCGGTTATAGCGACGAACATTCGCTTTTCATCCTTTCAGTTTCGTAAACAACACCCTAGCCAGGAGAAGGCAGTGAGTAGGACTTCCCTGACAGAGGCTATATACGCGTGTTCATGTGAGAGCATTTGGAGAGGGAGAGTGGACTCTCCCCACTCTCGGCCGTACCAGGGTATTTGGAGGCGCTTGCAGCCTGAACGCAGTTCCCAAGCTTACTTCTCAATAATGTTGTGTATACTACAGTGAACATGGTAGTATCTAACTTGGTCTTAAAGCCCAGAGGGTTTTAAACCCCTTAGCTGCAACCTCCCGACAATAGGCCGTGGTCTTAAGATCATGTTTCACTGTCACCCCAAGATCCTTGTGAGACTGAACCGCGGGCATAGCACATCCCCTGTTATGTACCTATTTACTTTTGTATCCCCAAAACGCATGTAGACACACTTTGCCGCATTGATAGGCATCATTCACTCTTTAAACCAGTTAATCACATTATTTAAGCCTGCCCGAAGTGTGCATGCATCTGCCTCTCTGGTTATTTCTCTCCAGATCTTTTACGTCGTCAGCGTATAATAACATTAAGGACTCTACTATACTTGGTAGATCATTTGCATACATTACAAAAAGTAAAGAACTTAGGAAAACCTTGAAGTACTCCACTCAACACTGGTCTCCAGGTGGAGCACTTCGAACTTACTCTTACTTTCTGTCTACAACCTACTAGGAATTCCTTATGCCATTTTAAAAGCTTCTAAACCGAAAACATTAAGTTTCAGGTCAGAGTGGGATTGTACTGCCAAACGCCAGGTTGTGGCGGGAGTCAAGTGTTTTTTACATGCAATTAAGATCGCTTTCCATCTCAAAGACATGAGAAAAAAACTTGAATAAATAGTTCATCCTTCCTTACTTCAAATTTTCAGTGTTAGATACTGGGTTTGGAAAATCATATTAAAAATCTGATTGGCGACTTATCTCAGTCAGTTGTTTCTCTCATTCCACATTCACATCTACGTGTTGATAAAACTGTCAATACTAACCCTGTTTCTCTTTGCAAGTTCAAAACATTTGCCTTCCTACAGGTTAAGCGTTTGAAAAGTGTCACTCGCCTGCATACCTCTAACTCCATTTGTTTGTCAATAGTTCTCTTCTGTGTTTCTAAAATTTATTTCCTTCTTATCAGCTCTTTCTCTTTAACACCATTTTCCCCATATGCCCAGGGGCTTCCGAAATATCATCCAAAATATCCTTAAATTTCAGTCCAAACTACATGGAGCTTCCGTTAACTGAACCCTGTACTAAATCAGATAAGCGCATTTACTAGCCCTTTCCAAATTCATTTATGAATAAATAAATAATATATTTGTAGTATCTTCAGAGATGTGGCGTACACTGAGTAACGAAACGTCAGAAAATCTAATTTTTCTACTTATTGGGATATTGAAAAAATATTATTTATTTATAACAGTCTACCCAATGCTCAATTTATTCGAAATTATCAAGTCAGACCTTGGTAATAATACCTACCAACTCATTTATGAATGATATAGGCTCTCTGAAATCCGAATACACAACCTTATTGGACTCACTCACTTGTTTCCATCTAAGCGTTGCGGAAAACCAGACTGGTTCACCCTTTAATTTTCTGGCTACTCATCGTGATCTTTTACATGTAAATATAAAGTCTAAAGATAGTCGACTAAATGGGACTGCAAGAACTTGGAAGTGTAGTGTTATAGACGATTGTCAGTTTATGATTTCTACTTACACCCGTGGCAAATGGTACCCGGATAGCATTTACAATTCACTAATTTTTACCCTGAAGTGTTTTGTATTTTCGTCTAGTATGAGTTTACGTCAGGTCGCACAATCCAGTGTCGAGTTCAAATTCATAACAGTGCTTACTCACTAATTTCACCACTGAGACATTGATAATTAAATGGCTTACACCTTCTGTAACTACAATTCGTAGTTGTACAACAACTAAACACTGTGGTGCTAGTAGATCCTACTTTAGTTGCTTTAAGGTACCTTGCATGCTCTTTGATTAACATAGCTCCTCAAACAGCAAGCCCCATTTTAGTATGTGCGTTGATTTTTGTCGTTCGTTAACCTTTCAGAGTTGCTAAAACTGTTAAGATAAGTGGTTGTCGTGAATAACCACCCCACGATCTTCATGTATATCTAGTTTAAATGTATTTAAATTGAAGGAAAATTTTAAACTTTATTGATAAAAATTCCATATCGAGGATTCTCACTAATGGCACTAACTTCAATGAATATGTCAGTAGTACTCATTTCCAATTCATGTCTATCATTTTCGGTCTTGATATGATGAATTTTCACGTTCTAAATGTTCACTACTTCAGTATCCAATGTTCCATCTTGAGTCTGGTTAGACTCCCGTTAATGCGCTTCATAGAAATGGATTGATTATTATCTTATCTGTTCATTATCATAGTCTCTTATATATTCTCAGAATACCTTCTAAAAATTATCAAATTCAAATAAGCGAATATACATTTCAAATTACTATCATATGCCTGAAATTTTGAATCTCCTCAGTGCTAAATTCGTGCTCAAGCACACCCAGCTTAAGAGATATAAGTGTTTGGCTAACTAAGATTAGCTAGATCACTCTTGTTGGATAGCAAAAATATCTTGTAATATTTAACAATCAGATAGACTAAAAATAAAGTGTACATATATATATATTATCTTTTTTGGCTAAAAACTGTTTCATCAAAAAGGAAGAAAATACATAAGAAACTACATCATAATCATTCTACTTTTTTGCTTCGTTAACTAACTAATAGTGTTGTATTCATTGATATTGTTCCCATCGTTGTCTTTCTGTTTGCTTCAACTAGTTATGATTTATGATATGCACTACATATTTGTATACAGTGGTGATACACTGGCATCAGTAAGATGATGGTAATGTCTTGGAAGACCTTTAGTTGACTGTATACTAACTTGTTTCAATTCGTTTATAATGTCAATTGATGGTAGATATTTGTCACTAGATGATGGTTTTTCTGTTGAACTTATATTACTATTATGATGGACCAGCATTAGAGAATTATTAGTGTCCTTTTTGGTTACTTATGTTAGGGTCTGTTAGTGTTAACATTCCTATTTCCGTAGAATTACTCCTTTCTTCCTGTTGTTGCTTTTTGAGACCTGTAAAATCTGTAAGCCAATTGGTTCTTTTATCACGTAGCTGTTGTGTTATGAATCCCGATGATCTCTTTTCGTTATCATCCAGTAATGAGTTACTGTTGTTGTTAGCAAATGAATCTAAATTTAATTCACCGTCAACTGACTTAAGTTGTTCACCATACAAATGCTTAAATCTGTGCTGTCTGGCATTCTCTTCATGATTTTCACAGTCTAATTCAATTGTATTTAACGTAAACATGTTGCAATGATGATTGTTTGAATTAACTGGTGTTGTAACAGTACTTGGACGCATCTTCACCATAGTTTCACTGTTTACCATTGCTTTTGGTAGTGGTGATTGTTCCACGCAAGAACTATCAATTTCATTGTCATTACTAATTGTCTTTTCTGATTGGATAATTGAATTTTTGTCGTTTTTAGATAGATTTCTAGTTGCAATAGCTGGTGTCACTGCAATCGCTGCTGCAGCTACAGCAGCAACAGATGCAGCACCGAATTCATGTTGTTTTCCGCCTATCAGAGTAGCCATGCAGTTTTTCTCTTCTTCACGTTGTTTTCTTCGATTTTGTATATAACTTTTTAACCATTTCTACGTTGAAAAAAATATGATAAGAGAAAAAGCAAATGGTTTGTTGGGAATGTTTAGTCTAAAAAAAGTAATGATACATATTACCTTAAATAATGTGAATGCCTTTTTCCTTTTCGAAACTCTATGATAGTAACAAGAATATTTTGTTCTTTAGGGCTGTTAAGTTCAGTATCTTTAACTGTATGGAAGTGTCATATGAAACTGTAACAATGAATAGTTTGCATAATATATCGCAGATACATTTCTTATGAAGTGTAGCTGGAATTCCATATTTTCATATGTTGTGTATCTGTTTGATTCAGAATAATGTATAATCTAATGGCAGGTGACTTGTAACTCTATTTCCTACCTAAAATAACAGAGATAAGCGCATCGTATATTTGATAATCATGAATCCTGTCCTATTTTTCACCTTTATTCCTGCATAACTTCACATTGCTATCATATACTCTGCATTTATTAATATACGTTGAGTACACCAGGTTTGAATTTTAAAAAGTTTAAACAAATAAGCAGATTATTAACCGTGAAGTAAAATAATCTCATTGGACATTAATCTTTCGAAAAACTGGGTCCAGATCTAACTGACAACATCCGATTCGCGATTTAATACCCTATCTGATGACTGTATCACTCTTGGTATGGACAAAATCCTCTAATCATAATTTATCATTCGAGTTTTTGTGGTCCATCTCAGGGTTAGTCATTAGTGATTAAACTATCACGACTTGTTCCAAAATAAGGTGAAGCTGATGTTAAGTACCCTCCAGTTTCCTATAGTTGCTCGAATGGTGTCGATCTATGATAAAACTAGCTTCAAAATAAACATATTTTACGACTACCTCCCCCCCCAAGTAAAATAACGATAATAACCAAACTAATTAGTCTAATGATAAAAATCTAAATAAAACTTACTTCTACTATTGTAACTACTGCATGATAAGCTAATGGAATAGGTGTAAATAAAACTGTCCACAAAGCTGCCACAGCCGCCAAATCACCTTCTGGTGCATGTACACATGTTCTTAGCAAAGGTATACACAAAAGACCATTAAACACTGAAGCTGCCGTAGATAATGTTCGAGATCTTGCACAACCTTGATTAGTTATTAATCCTACAAGCCAACCAATTGCAAATCCGCATATATTAAGCGATAATAAGGCAAAAATTAAATTTTGAGTAACTTCATTAAAAGCATAATGATTAATATATACACCCAAAGTCACAAGCAGTATTCCAGATAATAAAAGTAGTGGTCTAGTTATCCATGTTAGAATTGCACGTGCCAAACCTGGCTGACATCCTCTCATTAAAGTTCCTATACTTTGTGCTGAAGCTATAAGCATTAGCCAGCCAAATGTTTTCCCAATATTAATTGGACGATTAAACCAATACCATCCAACTGTTATAGCCCAAAGTGGCATAATCACTAAAAGAGAAAATGTAAAAGAAAGAGAATGCTATTCATTGAATAATCATAAAATAAGATGTATAACTTATTGGTTACATATGTATTTTATTTTTTTTATTTGAACACATAAATATTGGTAAAAAGGGGCACGGAATACATATGCGCCGCACAAATCTCATTTGATTTGTGTGAGGGTTGTGATGCTGCCCAGGTGCACAAACTGAAGCAGGTGGTTTTCTCACGGGGCCACACTCGGAGCATTTGACCTAAAGGTCTGGTCCACAAGGCAGTGGAGCATCGTGAGAAGATGCAGTCCCATGGTAGCCGGTGACCAACGATAGATTCATACGCCATTTGTTCCCTCAGGATACTGGAGCCGATGTGCACCATTGGTTTGGAATGAGGGTTTTCCAACTCCCCTAGATGAACTTTCCGTGTCCATGGACCCGGTTAGAGCGCTGGACATTCGCTTTTCGTCCTTTCAATTTCGTAAACAACACCCTAGCCAGGAGAAGACAGTGAGTAGGACTTCCCTGGCAGTGGCTATATAAGCTTGGCGATATGAGAGCATTTCTAGAGGGAGAGCGGACTTTCCTCACTCTCGGCCGTACCAGGGCATTTGGCTGCAAAAGTTAAATTTTGATTCAAAGACTTAGTAAACTTGTTCCCAAAAAAAGTTTTCAGTAGGCAAGAAAAAAGAGTTAAGAGTTAGATAATCAGGACTAAAAAACTCTAAAGACCATTTCTGTTTGCAAATCTGTTTTCTATTATTTAGGAATTATATGTTTGAGTTCGTCTTGTTTATTGTACGTTTTATACAGTTTCAATGAGTTTATCCGGTATCCAGTGTCTATTATGAGGTATAAATCACTTTCTTGTACCTTTCCCATCATGTTTGTAGTGTTATATAAAATATAATGTTTTTTTTTTAATGCGATGAAATACCTACAGATACCTTTATATTCACTAACCTTGTACCTCAAAGTTTATATTTAATTTTCTTAAAAACTTACTTCTACATACTTTGTCTACTTTTAAGTAGTATGAAGTTATTAATAGAATAAAATTTGTAAGTTGCCCAAGTTAAGTAATTATTACTGAAAATTACATCATCCTCCAGAGGTGACACAAACCTTTTTTCATTAATTATCTGCATAAACTGCGAAAGTATGCCAGATGGGTCTTACGAGAAACTCCTAAACATTCTTAATTAATATATCAGAGTGGATCACTTATTAATGTAACTAACAGTCTATTGTACGTTAATTAAGTCACTTTTTATTAATGCGATAAATGAAGTATGCACAGTTCCCCACTAGTGAGTTACAAATAGGATCGCTTGACCTGTGTCAAACTGTAGCTTCCACTCTAGATTCGCGTTTGTTAGATGATATATGAACATTGAGTGATGTGAAAACGCTGGTTCATAAAGTTGACCCTAGGAACTAAACTTGTGCTCACAGTTTTTCAGATTGTGAAACGTATCTTCTTTCAAAAAACGTCGTAAGCTGGAATAATAAATTTTTCGCCTACCAATGTGATGTTTTACACTGTACAAATAATATCAATTACAATAATTCCATTTTGTCCGTTATTCTTTTTCTGACATCTCAAAAGATAATCGATACTGTTTTACAAGAGGTGCCTTTACAACTTGATGTTTGACACATCAGATAAGTGTTCATCGGTATGAAATAACTACAGTTTTGAGACTACCACAAGGGTTATACTCATATATTTTAATATTACAGTGTTCCTCAATAATGATAGTGGTATTAATAATAATTTAACTTCTACTAAGTAAATGTTTGCGTATTTGGTTTGAATTCACGCAAGCCCTTGTGATGAAGGTTAGTATTACTGTCTGTCTGCTCAATATGAATTAGATCAAACGTAGTTTCAGTTGATAAGATCTATTGACACCTAGCGATTTAACCATTAAGCCACCTCTTAAAATTTTCGTTATGGTTAATTCTATAGATTATATATTTAAAACACACTAATAATCTTTACTAAATAATATCCATATGTATTGTCTAAAATTGGCATTCAGTATCTATTTGAATCATATTCGTTCGGCAGTAAAATTAAATAACCTACGTATTCACATTTATATTATCTAATGGAGCTTCACAAATCACCGCGTATAGCCTAATCAACTAGTTTTGGATGATGTTAAATTAATTTTTATAATAGTCATGGTAGTGTATTCATGACTTGGTGTTTATTATTATTACATATGCGCCGCACAAATCTCATTCGATTTGTGTGAGGGCTGTGATACTGCCCAGGTGTCCAAACTGAAGCAGGTGGTTTTCTCACGGGGCCACACTCGGAGCATTTGACCTAAAGGTCTGGTCCACAAGGCAGTGGAGCATCGTGAGGAGATGCAGTCCCATGGTAGCCGGTGACCAGCGATTGATTCATACGCCATTTGTTCGCTCGGGATACGAGAGTCCATGTACACCATTGGTTTGGAATCAGGGTTTTTCAACTCCCCTAGGTGAACTTTCCGTGTCCATGGACCCGGTTAAAGCGCCGGACATTCGCTTTTCCTCCTCTTAATTTCGTAAACAACAGTAATGCCTCGAAATGGCAGTGAGTAGGCCTTCCCTGACAGAGGCTATATACGCATGTCCATGTGAGAGCATTTCTAGAGGGAGAGCGGACTCTCCCCACTCTCGGCTGTACCAGGGCATTTGGAGGCACTGGTGTTTATTAATATATCTTTAAAACATATATCTCTCATTTGAAACTGTTTGATTCGAGAAAAGATTGTAAAATATGAAATTTTATTTCATCACTGAACTGGCATCTATTCCAATAATATGCATTGATTTATATGGTTATTACTAAGGATTTCGATTATCTTGTAAATATACAAGACTGAATCATAAACAGTTTTTGTTGTTATTTATGGATCTTGCGTGTATTGCTTGGAAATAGTCATTTTGTCACAGGTTATTTAGAATGGATGGATTGTGGCTAGCTATGGAATGTAGGACCCGTGTTTATTCTGAGTTGAGACTGATCAGCTAAACGTACCTGCATCCCAGTGTTGATGTTCACATTGTAAGTCGAACCTATCATCTCATGATTTAAATGCTGTGTTGTCGACTGGGCTACTGTGTAGATAGAAAGTAACTTGATCGACGGGTATGGTTTTTCTATCAACATTAATAATGGTTGTACTGACATCCACAATCTATTTATTCAAAATACAATTACTTATTTCAATAGATAGAACAATTATATACACTTACCTAAATCAGTGATACTTGCGATTAGAGATAATGCCGCTGACAGTTGTCTATCTCCATGACTTAAATAAGTCATCAAATAAGCCAATCCACCAGCAGGTACAGTCGAACAAATGAATAAACCAAATGCTTGATCGATGTCTAGACCAAAAACCAATCCAAAACCTATGGCCATCTGAAATATGAGAGAAACAAAGAAAAGCAAATAAAAGCAACAACATTCATAAGACTTAATCATTAATTATTTTGCTTATTTATGCAGATGTGCGAAGACTTCGTACCCAAACTTTCATGAAATACAACATTACTAATGTTTATTCCAATTAATCATTAAAAATAATAAGATTCATTCATTAAGTACAGTCTTGTATACTTAGTTTGAAGCCACGCTTTTCCTATGGGACATAGTGACACTAACTATTTACATTACAATGAATAAAACGAGCTTCAAGTCGTCAACCCAGTTGTCGCATGTTATTACATTAGTCTGTTGATGAATGCTGCCTACTTGGTCTGTATTCGCTTGATAATCATAATCAGTTTTCGGAGACGATAAATAAAATAACTCAAAATCTGTCACAGTGGAACAGGTACATTCATTCTTTATCCTTCTCCTGGTTCTTAAATTTCACTATTCCATATCTTTTTTATGTCGCTAATTCATTCCTCTTATAACGGGACATTTTATTATTTTTTGTCTAGCATTCCTATTTTATTACTAATCGATTATCCACAACTTACCTTATTCACAGATACTTTTGGATTGTTGATATATTATAGGGATTTTTCATTTTATGGTACAATGAGACCTAGCATGTTTGTACATAAACCTATGTATGTTTGGCATGCAATAATGATGAAGTCTGGGTGCTGACTTCTCTGTTGGACCCAAGGCAGAGGACAGATAAAGGTTTATAAATGGCGAGTCATTAGGAGTTTAGCTTGCGTCGGTCCAAAGTTAAATGTGCCAGTCAGAAGTGTAATTGGTCAAGTCTAGAATGCTAGACTATAAACCGAATAGAGAAAATTATATCAGTCAGCCTGTCAGCTACAACGTAGGACCAGGCACATATATGCATCGGTCCAAGTTGCCATACCTCGTTAGCACAACAAGATGAACACTGGATTCATAGAAGTAATTAATTTAGTGGTGGTAGTATGTAAAGAAAGGTTGTATATAAGGATATAGTATAGGAAGGAAAAAAGTTATGAAGCAATTTTCATCTCAAGGTTTAAGGGAAGATAAAGAGTGTATACACCTACGCCATTTTGATCGATTCTGAGCCATGTCACCCAGAGTCTCCAACCATTTATTACGATAGTCACGCGGACCCCAACCAGGTAGTCTGCATCTGCCAACATGGCTCAGACTAGAAGTTAGTGACTTCAAGCACTGATGCCATGTTTTGGTTTGGCCGCCCCTAACTCTCTTCCAACCGTCCCCAATACTAGTCAGCATAGCGCGTCGTGGTAATCGGTGTTCAGGCATACGTAACACGTGGCCCGACCATCTCAGTCGATGAAGATTCATCACCTCATCAACTGATTTACCATCATTCCCTAATACCCTGTGTCTTACCTCAAAATCATTTGCCCGGTGATTCCAGCAGATGCAAGCAATATTTCTAAGGCATCTGTAGTCAAATACTAGTAACCTGCGAGTATCTTCTACTCTTAATGGCCATGTTTCGCAGCCGTAAAGTAGAACAGAACGAACTGCTGCGCAGTATACTCGTCCCTTAATTGATAGACGGATATTTCGTCTTCGCCATAGGTGACGTAAGTTGGCAAAAACCAAACGAGCTTTTTGAATCCGTGCTGAGATTTCGTCAGACACCAACCCATTAGGGCTGATCAGACTTCCAAGATAAGTGAAGTTGTCGACGCGTTTGACTACTTCACTCCCTATCCTTAGTTCAGGTGTTGACGCAGGCCAGTCCTGGAGTAACAATTTACATTTGGATGGGGAGAAACGCATCCCAAACATCCTGGCATTATTACTGAGTTCCAACAGAAGACTCTGCATTTTGTCAGTGTCTTCACCAAACAGGACTATGTCATCTGCGTATTCTAAGTCGATAAGTGAACCTCCTGATAGAAGATCAATTCCTGAAAATTCAGTCTAAGAGAGTGTTATTTTTAGCAACAGGTCTATAATGAAGTTAAACAAAAATGGGGATAGTGGACAGCCTTGACGCACACCACTTGAGGTTGTAAAATCATATGACAGTTCTCCATAAGCTCTCACTCGACTGGTAGTGTTCGAGTAAAGAGCCTTCACAATGTTTATGTACTTCTGAGGTGGGATGAGTTTACGCGAATCCGTCAGTGAAATAGGCTTAGAGGAAATCCACTGGTTTTTTTGAGCCCTATGGTTTAAATGACTAATAGATGTTACTGCTGTTTCCACAGCTGTTCGTATGTCTTTCCAAGCAGCATCTCGGTCAGTCTCGTTTACAGAACTGCCTAGATGTGAACTCAGTTGTTTCTGGAATTCGCATTTGGCTTTCTCGTCCTCCAGTTCAATCCTAATGGGTCTTCTTAGTGTACTTTTCCTGCGTCCATTGAGGCGCAGACAAATGCGCGCTCGTATTAAAGCGTGATCAGAGTCTAAACAAGTATTCCAATACGAGCGACAATCTTCTATTGAGCCTCTCCAACGATGACTGATAACAATATGGTCTATTTGAGTCCGACGTTGGTTTGGTGCAGGTGGTCGCCATGTTAGACGATGTCTCTCCTTATGCTTAAAATTAGTGCTTGCTAGAAATAAACGATTGTCTGAGCATAGTTGCAACAGACGATCACCATTATCGGTTCGTTGAGCCGGAATACTAAAACACCCACCTAAATGTCTTTCTGTTTGAATTAAGCTGCCTACCTGGGCATTAAAGTCACCCGCTACGACTACTATGTCTGAGCGCTTAGCTTTCTGAAGAAGCTCAGAGAGCTTTCTGTAAAAGTCATCTTTCTTTTCATCATGGTTGCAGTCGGTGGGAGCGTAGGCAGAAACGACGAAAAGGCAACGACGTGTGTCCCTATCCTTCCGAGTTCTTATGGAGCCATTTAGCTGGACAGCACACAGGCGACTGTTAACGGGGATCCATTCTAGTAGTGCCTGTTCTGCCCTTGTACTTAGTGCTATGCCTACACCTGCAAGTCCGCGAGAACTAGCCAACGGGTCGCCAGATACACGGAGGGTGTATTTCGTTGGCTGTCCATTTTGGCGAGGTGAGGTCAAGTGAATGACCACACTGGGATCCTGTATGCGTGTTTCGGAGACACAGCATACATCAATGGTACGAGATTCTAGGGTTTTAGCTAAGGAGGCCTGTTGACCGATTTGGCGTAGGGTACGTACGTTGAAGGCTCCAATGTGTAGTTTGGAGCGAGGTTTAAGTAGACCTGGGACAGCGTTTCGCGCACTAGAATCGTTGGCCATGGTGACACTTGAGGAGGAAACTGGAACAGGAAGTTTAGTGTTGAAAGTCAAGGTAGAAGGAATAGTAGGAATTGAAGAAGGAGATTGATTATGAATACAGTGGTCTTGAGTGCTGTTAGAGGTATGAGGGCAGTTATCACTTCCTGGTTGCCCACACCGTGGAAGGGTTCTTCTAGAGGTACCTGAAAAGGAAATTGGGTTAGAAGTGGTCTTAATGACCTGAGAGCGTGACCGCAGTGCCCAAGGGACAATTGTTTGAGGTCGGTCACACACGACCTTTTTGTGCGTAGTTTTTGTGTTAGCTCCGTTCTTCAAAGGACCTTACCGCCGGAGACGGAAATCCGTGGGATAAGGCGAGGTGTGCATCTTTAGGGTCGACCTTTTCTAACCCCACCCCTCCTTGTGGGAAGGCAGCATCGCTGTCATGCTGGTTGTCTGAAGGAAACGCCTAACTGCCGTCACATCTCTGTACAGTCGGCAGTACGACTTCGCCTTCGGACCTTGGGTTTGCTGCTTTTAGTCTTACCGCTCTTCAACCAACCTGTCTGGCATGGTAGGACCTCGAGGAACGATTGTTCCAGCCAGCATAGCTCGATTGGTTCATCACGATAGGCAAGCCCGACCACCACGTCAAGGTGGCAGAAACGGTAGGGAGAAAATTATATTCAGAAATCTTACTGATGAATTCAATGTGTAATATCGGTCAATCTGCTCAAGACATAATAATTGCTTCTGTTCGGAAAATGTTCTTTGCTGTCAGTTTTTTACTATCAGTAGTGATACTACAATGATTTTAAATTATTTTCTGTTAATTTTATCAAATATATCTCATCTGTGTACAGTGGTATGTTAGGCTGATACAAATTTATACCAGGTTTTCTAATGATTGGATGCCGGCTCAGTGGTCTATTGGTTAGGGGCTCGCGCGCGAGACTGATAGGTCCTGGGTTCGAATCTCGCGAGGTGGAATCGTGGATGTGCACTACTGAGGAGTCTCACAATAGGACAAAACGGCCGTCCAATGCTTCCAGGTTTTCCATGGTAGTCTATCTTCAATTGACTCATGATCTCGATTATATAATATTATAACTGAATATTTAGACTACGAATTTGTTTTAAACTAATGATCTTCTGAGGCTTCAGTAAATCCATTGGATTTCCATAGTTTTGTGACATTTAAGAATGGTACAATAAGTAGAAGTGAAAAATTAATTTAGTTACTATGTTGCCAACTGTTTTCATTTTTTCTTTTTCTTTTCAAATTTTCGGTTAATCATCCTGTTTATAAATAGAATGCCTAAAAATATTCAATCTGTTAGCTAGTTATTTTTTCTAAAATCTGTTCGATATAAAATAAGTTTTGTTTTCACAAGAATAATAAATCTATCCTATTCATTTAATTTGATCAGTTTTATTCATTCTAATTAAGCTTTCTATAATTCAGATTATGAAGGTATCAAATTTAGACCATCATTAAGAACTCGGAAGCACTGGACGACCGTCCTGTCTTAGTACGAAACATCTAAGCGGTGTGCATCCTCGATCCCGCACATGGGATTCGAATTCGGGACTTTCGGTTTGGTACTCGAACGCTTAACCTCTAGACCACTGAGACGGTATCCAACAATGTGTTAATATGTATGGACAGCCAATCCACTATGTTGTGCAATCATTTATTGCCTTCTGTTGGTAACTGCCTCATACTCGACATGGTCGTACAGTGCTTTGATCGATTTATAATCTCAACCCTATACTGTTTTATGATTGTTTAAAGTTTCAAATTTTATTCATCACTAATTTTCGAAAAATAATTGTTGGAAATAAAATTATCTTCATGAAAGATTGAAAAAATCAATTCTATTCTGTCAATAGGCTTTTGAGATTTATAAATTCATACTGGTGACAGTTTGTTGTGCTCACCGTGAAGTCAAGTGTACAAGTGTATATAATGTATATATATAGCCATAATATATGACGTAGTACTAATCCGACGTGCAATGTTTCATGGTGTAGGAGTAGGTTTGAAGAAAGCTTGAGGCGGTCAGACCAAAACATGGCACAAATCCATGAAGTCACTAACAAGTAGACTGAGCCGTGCTGGTAGGTGTAGACTACCTGGTTGGGATTCGCGAGAGGATAACAATCGATGGTTAGAGACCTTGAATGACATGGCTCAAAATCGTTTGCAATGACGAAGGTGCATCCACTCTTTATGTTCTACCAAATTCTAATCTTCTGAATTCTTTGTCTCTATCCTTTTTCTCTTTTCAAATTTATTTCACTGTATTATACTCCTTGAATAACATCTTCAAACCCTAATCTTTCACATAATGCTTATACTCTTACTACTTCTACCAATATGGGATTTGAATGGACAACTGCATCTCTGTGCTAATATGGTATGGCAACTCGAACTGATGTAAGCACGTACAAAGTTCTATGTTGTGACTGATTGACTGACTGACTTACTACTAATACGTACCAGTAACGGTGTGTCGATCGATTTAAGCTTTTCGTCTTTCCTCTATCATTGCATACTTCACTTTTTATTTATTCTATTTATAAACAAATAGTTTACTAATCATATACAGGGTTGAATACAAAATTAAACTGAATATAAGTGGAAGGAGATATGTAAAATAGAATGAAAGTGATCGAATTAAACTGAATAGTAACTAACAGAAATCTTTAACTTTTCTCTTCTATAGATTAAGTAAGACATTTTAAGATGCCTATTTTTTACTAGTTTTTCACTCCTTAGTTAATAAATAAGTACACATACAAGTAATAGGAGAATTTCTTTCAATCAATGATCCATATGTTGCTACCTTGTGTGTTTTTGATTTTTTGTTTTGTTTTACTCTTTTGTTTAAAAAAAAGATGGATATTTCCCGGTTTTGCGTACCCCTTGTATTTCGCATGATTTCATTAGTTAGTATACAGACAGTGAATTAGCTGGCTTTTTTTTTCTTGTTTTGAACGAGTAAGAATTTCTTTGGCCTAGAATAGTAATAGTCCAAGTTATTGATCCAACTGATATTTGTTACAACTAACTACATTGAACATTTTGTTCTCTTCATTTAAATGTTGAATTACTGAGGTAACACTTCGGTTATTAGAAAGAAATGATGAGGTTAGGTGTTGGCTATTATGGAAATATGACAAAATGTCTGATGATTTTGAATCGATAACGTTGAATATTATGGGTTTTTTAGGGTGTCGTGCTCTTCGAGCTAAACTGTTTAACTGTGATGCCTCTACTTTCTTTCTATGTAACATCGTCATCATCATCAGTACACATTTTAAAAAGAAGTTATTAAAATTTTTCCAAAGTTAATTACCAACTTATTCTGTCGACGTGTAATTTGACTGATTGCTGGGTATAGCGGGTACTATTATTTATTATTTTATTTAGACACATAAATATTGGTACAAAGGGGCACCAGATACATATGCGCCACACAAATCTCATTTGATTTGTGTGAGCGCTGTGATACTGACCAGGTGCACAAACTGAGGCAGGTGGTTTTCTTAGAGGGCCACACCCGGAGCCTTTGACCTAAAGATCTGATCCACAAGGCAGTGGAGCATTATGAGGAAACGCAGTCTCATGGAAGCCGATGACCAGCGATTGATTCATATGCCATTTATTCCATCAGGATACTGGAGCCAGCTGATGTGCACCATTGGTTTGGAATCAGGGTTTTTCAACTTCCCTAGGTGAACTTTCCGTGTCCATGGACCCGGTTAAAGTGTAGGACATTAGCTTTTCGTCTTCTGAATTTCGTAAAGGCAGTGAGTACTACTTCCCTGACAGAGGCTATATATTCGCGAGTCCATGTGAGAGCATTTTGAGAGGAGAGCGTACTCTCCTCACTCTCAGCCGTACTAGGGCATTTGTTCGTAATCATTTTTAAAAATTTAGTATTTAATAATTAAAATAACTTTTTTCTCTACACTAATATTCATACATAGATGTATATATATGTATATCTAAATTCATAATTTCATTTATTTCTAACTTGATTATTATACTACTTACAAATAAATTAAACTTATTTTTGTGTTTATATAGTAACAATATATTCCAAAATTTATTTATATGTATTATTTGTCAAATATTACATGTTTTTGTTGTTTTTTTCAACCATGTTTCTATCAAGATCTTCAATTTATTTCCTTATTTTCTTATTGATTAATTCAAGTATCTAAGTGTAATAGTACACATGTTTTTGTAATAGATACAATATGGATACAATTTTTTTATTTAATTATTGTCGAAACAAAATTTTACAAAAATTAACTAATCAAATAATTTTTGATCGTGTATGCCCTGGTACGGCCGAGAGTGAAGAGAGTCCACTCTCCCTCGCGAAATGCTCTCACATGACTACGCGTATATAGCCTCTGTCAGGGAAGTCCTACTCACTGCCTTCTCGTGGCACCATTGTTGTTTACGAAATTAAGAGGACGAAAAACGAATGTCCGATGCTTTAACTGGGTAGGTGGATACGGAAAGTCCACCTTGGGGAGTTGGAAAACTCTGATTCCAAACCGATGGTGCACATGGGCTGGCTCTAGTATCCTGAGGGAACAAATGACGTATGAATCAGTCGTTGACCACCGACTACTATGGAACTGCATCTCCTTACGACGTTCCACTGCCTTGTGGATCAGATCTTTAGGTCAAAGGCTCCGGGGGTGTACCCCTAAGAAAACCACCTGTTTCGGTTTGGGCACGTGGGCACTATCACAACCCTCACATAAATCAAATGAGATTTGTGAGGCGCATATTTATCTGGTGCTTCTTTGTATTAATATTTACATGTTTAGACAAATAAATGGTTATCTTGCCTTTCATGAAGAGTAATTTATTGATTCATTATGATTTATAGTTATAAAATCTTACGCATACCGATGTTCAGAAACTATTGAATCTCTCTAATTAAAATCCTTGAAATAATAGGTTTAGTATCTTTTTGTCTTTTAGCATTGAATATTTACTTCAATTTTAACTCTATATTCAGATGAATTATATAAATGATTGGGTAAGTAAGCAAATATGGATAGTGGCTAGTAGTGGAATCCAGGACGCGCGTTTCGTCCTATTTGGGACTCGTCAGATGGATATACCTGGATTCCACTGCTAGCCACTATCCATCTTTGCTTATAATGCTTATGAATTAAGGCAATATTGAGACAATACGCACAGGATGTACATATGCCAATAAGAGACTGACCAGTTGCAGTCCTAAAAACATCAATGGGAAGATTCAAACAAACAATACTAAGTGGATTGAGTAAGTAGTTTAATTAATCAATTCTCAAAAATTACATTGTAATTTTATTAAATCTCAATCCATTGATTCTAGTTCAATGTGATTCAATAGGTCGATATTAAAATGTATGGCTTCAATATGAGCATATACATATGTACTTGCTGACGACTAAATTAAGTTGAGTTAAAATGAACGAAAGAATATTTCTATTATTTGTAAACACCCTACCATTATTTAATCATTAAATGTGTAGATAAAATATTGTTATTCTAGTAGCCAGAATAATCAGCTGTTTACTATTAATGTTTTAATTGAATCATTTAAATCTGTATTGAAATACTCTAATGGTATTTGGGATAGTAATAAGTGAGGAGTGCACTTTAGTGCAGAACAAAATCTGCTATTCAGTAAATTGATTTGGATCTAGAAGACTTGTAGCTTATAGGGGAAGCAACTCTAATATATGATGGATTGAATGTTTTGGTTATAGTTGACGGTCGATAGATTTTAGGAGCCACTAAGGAACATTTTGTTTATTTTTGAAGTGTGTCAAGAAATGCGAATAAATATATCTGGACATCTGTAAAATACACAATGCAATTCAATAACTGAGTAGAGATTTATGTTTTCTGCTTTGAGTTATACATTTTTTGTTAGGCTTGTTGACACTATCCGACCTCTTAGACTGAAGTAAATGAATTAGAGTTCGAACTTACAACTGAGGCGTTTGGCTTACTTAAGGGAGCACTCCCTCAACGATTCACCCAGAGGTCTTATCTATAGGGCGGTGCAGCAATGTTGAGAGATACTGTTCTATGTTACCTGGCAACGTTATTCGTTCCCACCACTTTGAAATCAACGTTATTCAACTCCCTTGGGTGGACCATCTGTATACATAAACACAATTTTATCGCCGAAATTGTACCTGTTTTCCTCTGAACACGACGCATGATTGCAGTTAGTAAGCATTTTAAGAGTGATAGTGAACTTCCTCTACTCTCGATTCTACCAGTTTAATTTGGAAACATATACAGAAGCGGTTCCCAAACCACATAAATAGGGGAAAAACCAGTAACTCAATTTATGTTATCCTTACTGTTATACATATATGTATATATATATCCTTACTGCTGTACATAAATGAACCTTGCAGCAAAGTGTTTTTTCTCTGATACTCGTGTCTTCTCTCTGGTCTTCAAGTCGCTGAATAGTGCTAGCCTGGGGTCATCCGAATAGCTTAGGATCTGAATAAAGCGTTCAACCTACAAGACATATCACTTACTTTGATAGCTAAAAATGTTTACCATCAAAAATAATTCATATAATTCGTTCACACACACATACATTGACACCACCTACCATTGGGATTATAATCAATTGATAAAACAAACCGGTCAATATAGCTTTTGGTTCATTTAATTGTTCTCTAATCATAATTGGATCATTACAACAACCAACAGATAATGCAAGCATAAAAGCAATTACTGCTGAACTCCAATCAGATGTAATATAAAATTTTTGTGGTCTCAATAATACTGTTAACCATAGATAATTTTTCCATATACCATGACTTTCATCTTGTATTAAACTATCATTGTTGCTATTACCCAACTCGTCTGTTAATTTGTCATGGTAATTCACTTGTTCTTTTGGTACATAAATTTTGGCTTCGGTAATTTTAATTTGTGTTGGATCTTGTATTGTAATAGTATATCCTTTATTTGTTAATTGATATAATGTTTCTTCTTTTAATTGTATTTGATGTTGTTTTATACTTTCTGAACTAGTGATTGTTGTTGTCACTGTCGACGTCGCTGCTGTTGATCTATTCTGTTGATGATAATAATCATCAATGATATGTAATGAATCAGTTAATTTTGTTAATGATTCAATATGTTTTCTTGATGTACTATTTATCCATATTAATGAAGTAGTAATTTGACTATGACCTAAATTCTCTGCATGTATATAAAATCCATTAGTTGTATTACATTTTATCTCTAAATATAAAGTAATACATAAAGAATTATTATGATTATTATAAGTAGTACTATCAGTAGTATTATCACAATGATATAAATGAATATTAGAATGTATTCTTTTAGAAAGTGATAATGCAATTACATGACCATTAGAGGATGTAATCTTATACAATAAAGTTGTTGCCGTCTTATTATTATTTACTGACGATTGATTAATCACTACTGTTTGATTGATTGATTGTGTTAATTGTGTTTTAATAATTTGTTCCCATTGTTCAGTATATTTACAACAACATGTACATGTTAATTCAATCCATTGATATGCACCTACACTTAATATTGGTGTTTGAGTAGAATGTTTAAATATAGTATCTTCTTTATGTTGATTATCTGGTTTTAAACCTAATTGAATATGATAATCTACTGTACAATTAAGAGGTCTAAATAGATCTGATGAGGATGAGGATGATGATGTGGTGATCGTAGTGTTCATAATTGGTTGTTGTTCTTGAAAATCAGAATGAATTGATCTCTTATGTTGATGTAATAATGTATTACAATTTGAATGAATACAATGATAGAATATAATCATACAGAAGGAGAATGAATTAACTTTCATTGAATTAATCATCGTCATCATCACAATCTAAACTTGATATTGAATAAATGGTGTTAAAATATTAAACTATCATAACAACAGTATATAAATAAGTAGAAAATTATGTAGGTAAAGTAAATATTCTACTTTATAGTTAATATATACATATAATATTGTATATATCGACAGCTACATCTCTGTATTAATGTGGTATAGCAACTCGAACTGATGTATGTACGTACCAAGTTCTATATTATGACTGACTGATATTTAATTCGAGCAAGAGAATCATCGGTATCGACTTTTGTGGGCATATATTCTTTTAGAAGTATGTTTAAATTAGAATGAAATAAAATCCATTTAGATTAGTACTGAAATTTTGACACATATTGTAACCGGTTGCATAGATGAATTTTCTATCAACAAATAAATACTATCTTGTTTGGTAGTATTCTTTCTGTATTCACTGTGGTGATCCATCTTCATATATATTGCATACGTATATATATATATATTCCAATAGCCAATCGGTTTGTTATTTGTATTTTTGTGTATCCTTTAGAAAATATATTTTGATAGGTTCATCTTTGTGTATGTCCAACTGGACAATGGTGGATAATTTCTTTTCCTTTTTTTTTGTTTCCGTGACAGAAATATTCAGAATACAGACACATATCTATCTATGCTTATGTATACACAATTCAGATCATAATTTTAACAGTTATAAAGATCCCCATCGATCTGAGAATTGATGTGTCCTTAAAAAATGATGACTATCGTTTAGATAGTTAATGTGAATCTGTTAAATTTTTTTTGTAGCAAGGTTTGATGTTACTCAAATAATAAATAAGTAATCAAAGGTGACGTTATTCAGTGAAGATTTTTGCTTGGTAAAATAGTATTTTGTTGACGATGCTTTTTAGCTTATTTATTTAAACACATAAATATTGGTACAAAGAAGCATCAGATATATATGCGCCGCACAAATCTCATTCGATCTGTATGAGGGCTGTGATACTACCCAGGTACCCAAACTGAAACAGGTGGTTTTCTTAGGGGACCACACTCGGAGCCTTTGACCTAAAGATCTGATCCACAAGGCAGTGGAGCATCGTAAGGAGATCCACTCCCATGGTAGCCGATGACCAACGATTGATTCATACGCCATTTGTTCCTTAGGATACTGGAGCCAGCCCATGTGCACCATTTGTTTGGCATGAGGGTTTTCCAACTCTCCTAGGTGGACTTTCCATGTTCACCTACCCGGTTAGAGCGCCAGACATTCGCTTTTCGTCCTCTCAATTTCGTAAACAACATTAGTGCCAGGAGAAGGCAGTGAGGAGGACTTCCCTGACAGAGGCTATATATTCGCATGGCTATGTGAGAGCATTTGGAGAGGGAGAGCGTACTCTCCCCACTCTCGGCCGTACCAGGGCATTTGGGTCTAAATGGAATTTCGCTGCCAGGAGTTCTATCATCAACCAACGATTTGTTTTAAACATAAAATAAAGTCCTGCGTTCGAGTTTCTGTTGGAAATCCGTGGACGCATGCTGCTGAAAAGTTCCGTGCTAGGGCGAAACAACCGTCCAGTGCTTTCAGGCTTTCATTGGTTGTCTAACTCAGATTGGTTCGTGATTTCGGCGAAATTTAACTTTCTCGACAACCCCATACTGAAAACACAAACTAATGTTCGGTGACGACGTTGTCAGTTAACTAGAAAGAATTGGTTGATCACATTCGTTCGTTATTAAATGAAATTAGTGATTTCTTAAACTTATTGAATATTTTGATGAACGGATAACTTTTTGAAAGCATGCTGTAGTACAAATTTGTATATTCATAGTCTGAAACTTGCATAAATCACACAGACGACTTCTCTCTTTTACAGAGTGAAGCTCGAGACATATGTCCTAACCTTTAATGACATTATCTTTTCAATTACTGAACTCAATAATTAACCTACTTTTCACATTCATAGATTGTTTTCTCCGTTTAGTGATTCTGTAGCGGAATTCTTTTATACGAAATAGAATTGCTCACTCTATGCTTGCCCTACTCTCTTTTACCAAGGCTTGGGTCCGTCAACAGACCCCAGTGAGGCTTCAGGTGTAGTTGTCACAGATTATTTTACAAAAAAAGTCCTTACTATTCGACTTTAGACAGCTCTATCAGAAGTTATTAGTGTATTCATTTCACTGATCAGGATCATAACACATTTTATGTTTACATGATAAAATTCTTTGTGATTATTTGCCTATTTATATGACAATCTACTGTTTATGATGACTGATCTTGAAAGGATTCGCCTGCGTGTTGTAAAACCAACTAGTTTATTTAAATAAAGTCGATGATCAGATCATATCACAACATCTGTCTATGAAGTAATGGATTATTGGTTTTATCTATGGAACTAACTGTTGGCATTATGATTAGAGTTTGTTATATATCAGTAATTCCCAACACTGAATTTCGTTTGATCAAAACAGTTTTTGCTCTAATTGCAACGACGACGTATTCTGATAATAATTTAAGAGACTGGGAATACTTTTGACTATGTATTTTAATTCAAAACAAATCATTTGTCGATGACTTGTAACACCTCTCCTACAATTAAGTTTGGTTATTGGTTGTTTTTGTCAATTAACTTATTTAACTAACAGTGTTATTCGAACAGTAACAATCTATCTGCGACGACCTACGCACATATCCCTCTCCCTAGCTTAAAGATCGCTCTATGAATCATTCGCTTTCTCATATACTTATGTGCTCGAATCATATTAATTAACTCGACTCTGAATCCACCTCTGGATTTGCTTGCTTGCGCATATTAGCCTTTCTACTCAAATCCGCTTGATGTGCTTGATCTGCGCTATTCAATAATAAACAGTAGTCGGCACTTCGTGTTGCCTTCTGAATTGATACCCCGTTGGGATTTATTTAATAGCAGTTATCAGGGTGATTGATATACGAAGCCCAAGGAATCACCTCGAAGCCAAGCCTCTACAGACTAACTGGTCAATAATAGTGATTAAAATGGTTTTAAATTTACGATGAAATATATATTCATATCTAGATAAAGTGTATTCTAATCAGTGGTAAGGACCGGTAGTCACGGCTTAGGTTTATTGTTAGAATGTGATCAATACCATAGAGACCAGTGCAGTAGGGTTTTAAAAAATACTGAGTAATCAGTTAATGTATTTATTAACTTTCTTTCCTATACAGATCACATTTATGAGGTAGTCAATTTTCATCAACTGAGGTTTTTGGGATATTACTGCATATCGCCAATCACCATCTAAGTCGACTTGAACAAATGCACATATATCCCCGATTCTACGTTACGAACGACTAATTGATTGACTATGTCTAATTCATTATTGTTAAATACATGTTGTAACATGTTTTGCTTTATAAGACCATTCATCGTTATGAAATTCCCTTAAAATGAAATGTGATTGATATTTCTTCTTGTAGTAATGCGACTAAATCGTCCAACATTTGTTATACAACGATGTGAACCAACTGAACTTTACCTGGATGATATAGCAGGGTCTTTAACAGCATATGACGCAAGTATTCGTGGAGACCTTGATGGTATTTCTTTAAATCTTCTATCTGCTGGTAATATACCTCCCTCTTCAAATTCTCATGAATCTCCTAACTATGATCATAAACTAAATAATGACAGCAAAGATAATTATAATTACATACAACCTAAAGTTGGAGGATATAGTGAACTGTTAAGTTTGACTCATTCGTTTGGGTAAGTATGAAATTTCAAAAGATAAACTAACATTACTTTTACGACTTCAATATAGAAATTCGATCACATTTCCGTTGATTGATTAGTGCAAATATATGTGTGTTCTTTATGGGGAGTATTTCGAAGTTTATTTCTTTTTATTTATTTAAACACATAAATATTGGTACAAAGAGGAACCAGATATATATGCACCGCACAAATCTCATTTGATTTGAGTGAGGGCTGTGATGCTTCCCAGGTACCCAAACTGAAACAGGTGGTTTTCTTAGGGGACCACACTCGGAGCCTTTGACCTAAAGATCTGATCCACAAGGCAGTGGAGCATCGTAAGGAGATCCACTCCCATGGTAGCCGATGACCAACGATTGATTCATACGCCATTTGTTCCTTAGGATACTGGAGCCAGCCCATGTGCACCATTTGTTTGGCATGAGGGTTTTCCAACTCTCCTAGGTGGACTTTCCATGTTCACCTACCCGGTTAGAGCGCCAGACATTCGCTTTTCGTCCTCTCAATTTCGTAAACAACATTAGTGCCAGGAGAAGGCAGTGAGGAGGACTTCCCTGACAGAGGCTATATATTCGCATGGCTATGTGAGAGCATTTGGAGAGGGAGAGCGTACTCTCCCCACTCTCGGCCGTACCAGGGAATTTGGGGGCTTTCGAAATTTATATCAGTTGTGTTTTTGTTAGTAATCGTAAATATATATTTCAGCTATTCTTTGGTATTCCTTCCTTGTTTCATAATGTACATTTAGTCGTGGATTATTTACCAACTGTATATAAAATTTCTGATTGATCTTTCAGCTTGTTAATTCTAGAAACGCACTGCCGAGGAGTCCCGTACTTGAGACGAAACGGCCATCCAATGCTTACAGGTTTTCAGCGGTGGTCTAACTTAGATTAACTCGTGAATTCAACTGTTAAAGTACTAAAATCTCCACAAATCCCCATACTGATAATGATTATAGAAGCAACAAATTTAGATATAATGATCAGTTTTTTTCAAAGTTTATAATATTCAGCGACTATCCACTGATATTAAAAAAAATTAATTTTTGTTATTTCCTAAATTATTAGTTTGAGGGTCAACGTTTCCAGTTGAATTTTTAAGAAATTTTCATCTATATATTTAATAAGTTAGAAACAACTGATATCATGTACTGTAATTAATTACTTATTAACTTTCTCATTTAAAATCAATAACTCGGTGGTAACATTTGGTTGAAATCTTTTAACTATCTAAGTTGTTAAATTCAATTATTATCGGAAGGGGGTTTTATGGAGATTTTAGTAATTTTATGTATTGTTGAGACCATGAGTCAATTGAAGCTAGACCACCATGGAAAACCTGGAAGCACTTTATGCGCAATGCTGAGGAGTCCCACAATAGGACGAAACGGCTGTGCAGTGCTTCCAGGTTTTCCATAGTGGTCTAGCTTCAATTGATTCATGATCTCAACTATATAAAATTCAATTATTTTTTAATTTCTATTTAATAAAAACATTAACACATCATTTTCACTTCATGCATTGCGTTGACGAAATGTAAATACACTTGTAAATGTAATTTTAAAGATTAACATATATTATTATCACAATCGAATTCACGAGTCCATTTTACACTGGAGAACCATTGAGAACCTGGAAACACTGGAAGACCGTTTCGTCCTAGTATGGGACTCCTCAACACTGCACACTCACGATCTCGAACTTATGATTCCCAGTCTCGCTCACGAACGATTAACCTACAGACCACTGAGCCGTCATCCAATGGTGTTAACGTCTAACTCCAATGAATCCATGATTTAATCAACCCTTCATCCATTGTCTGAAGTGAATAACTGTCTCATAACCGATACAGATTGGACTCTACTGGTAGTGGCTTCAGTGATGGTCTAGCTTAGATAAACTCATGAATTCAACTGTTGAAATACTACAATCTCCACAAATTCTCATACTGATAATTATTGATTGATTGTTTTACCTTATTAAGACATCGATATTATCCAGATCGTTTTTCATTCTTGTCATTCATGTGATAATTGAAACCTTATTACAGTGCAATTTTGTTTTAAAAAATTTCATTTTGAAACGTTAATTTTCACTATATCTGTGTTCTTTTACTAATATATTGACCTGCGCTACACTGATATTATCATAAGAGATAGTGGTAGATACATTTAGAGAGTTGGAATAAAATCTTTGGTAAAATTTATATTCCAGTATATTGTATTCGCTCTATGAAAAAAGTGGTCGAAATTGTTAGACAACATGACACACTTCAATAGATGGTCTTGTCGGTTCACCGATCTTAGATGATCTCGTAATCTCTTCAAGCATAAGAGAAACAGCATAATTTCTTGTGTTTTTTTAAAAGCATAGTACATGAAGGAGCCAGTCAAAATCGACAATGTGGTTTTATGACTTTCTCACGACATCCGAATATCACTCATGTCAAACATTAGGAATACCTTTGTATGATGCTGTTCAAAACGTTTTAAATGATAACGAAAAGTTACCTTTTGTCACCATAGAGTAAAAATAATGTTGTTGAACGTACCACGTGTTCAATCCTATCTTTGTAGATGGAGTATGGCAGCAAATCAACACTACAGTGTCGACTTAGAGACAATATTACTAAATCCCAATCCTTGATCCTAAAACAAACTTTTACCTGGTGGCATTGTATTTTATGGACAAACTAATTAGTTGGCCCATCTTACTTTTTTGCACTAAATTCACTCATCCATATGACTACAGAGTTTTTTTTACATTATAGCTGATGTTAATTTGTAACGAAAACCCTAATCTCAAAGCCCTTATTCCAACGATAAATATCTAACTCTATCTAGGAATAATATGATATCTTTGAAAAAGCTATATGTTTTTTTCAAGAGTTTACGAGAACGGATAATCTCTCTTAATAAGGATAAGTTTCTATATCATCTTTTTTTCTCAGTCTACTGGCAGATTAATCTATAGACGACTTTAATAGATTCACTAAATATTTTAAATCCGTTTACACTTTCTTATATTATTGTTCCCCTCCCGACCGTTGCTACTACCTTGACGTGGTGGTCCGGCTTGCCTATCGTGATGAACCAATCAAGCCATACTGGTTGGAACAATCGTTCCTCAAGGTGCTACCACGCTTGACAGGTCGGTTGAAGAGCGGTAAGACTAAAAGCAGCAAACCCAAGGTCCGAAGGCAAAGTCGTACTGCTGACTGTACAGAGGTGTGACGGTAGTAAGTTGTTTCCTTCAGACAACCAGAATGACGGCGATGCTTTTTTTCCCACAAGGATGGGTGAGGTTAGAAAAGGTCGACCCTAAAAATGCACACCTTGCCTTATACTACGGATATCCGTCTCCGGCGGTAAGATCACAACAAGTACGGAGCTAAAACAAAAAATGCCCACTAAAAGGTCATGCGTTACTGACCTCAAGCAGTTGTCTATTGGACACTGAGGTCACACTCTCAGATCATTAGAACCACTTCTAATCCAATTTTCTCTTCAGGTACCTGTAGAAGAACCCTTCCACGGCGTGGGCAACCGGGAAGTGATAACTGCTCTCATACCTCTAACACCACTCAAGATCACTATATTCATAATCAATCTCTTTTCCCTCCCTCCTCATAAAACTATTCATTTACAAAGATTTTCGTGATTAGTTGAGAACTGATTGAAAATTAATTGTCCTTATTTTAAGTTCATCTCACCACAAAAACAAATGATAATGACAAGTAAGTAAGAAAGAAAACTGTCATTCACATCTTATCTCTTTTTTTAAATTTATTTTATAGTACTATTTATTTGGGTGAAACATTCTCAGCTCATATAAATTTACACAATGAAAGTAATCAAATTTGTTACAATGTTGAATTAAAAGTAAGTCATAACGTTAATAGCTTCAATAATAATAATATTTATTTATTCTTATCTTATTTAAACACATAAATATTGGTACAAAGAGGAACCAGATATATATGCGCCACACAAATCGCATTCGATTTGTGTGAAAGCTGTGATAAGGCAGTAGAGCATCGTGAGGAGTTGCAGTCCCATGGTAGGTGGTGACCAACGATTAATTGATACGCCATTTGTTCCATCAGGATCCTGGAGCGCATGTGCACGATTGGTTTGGAATCAGGGTTCACCAACTCTCCTAGGTGAACTTTCTGTGTCCACCAACCCGGTTAAATTGCCGGACATTCGCTTTTCGTCCTCTCAATTTCGTAAACAACAGTAATGCCACGAGAAGGCAGTGAGTAGGACTGCCCTGACACAGGTTATATACGCGTGGCTATGTGAGAGCATTTGGAGAGGGAGAGCGGACTCTCCCCATTTTCCGCCGGACCAGGGCATTTGGGGGCGGATGAAGTCGGAGGAAGAGATTCACAATTCACAAATGTATATTTGGGTTTATTTTGGCTTTCTTTATCTGTTCAACGTTCCTTTTAGAGTTCAAAGATTTCATTCAAAATCTGACAACATCCTACTACCATGTGAACTGAAGACCAAGTAATTTTTCATTTATAAAGAAACATTAAGTGGAGTTTTAATATATGACATAATACTAATCATGCTGTGAAACAATAAAAAAAACCCTGAATATGAAGACGTTTGTTGTATGTAGACAAAGAAACTAAAATCGATAAATAATTCATGTGAATTGTGGTTAGCATTGAAACCCAAGACGCATGTTGCTTCTTTCACTTGAACATATCTTTATCCAAGAGTTAATATTCACAGTGGGGCTCAAGCCCAGCACTTTTCGCTTCAAAATCCAGCACTTTATGTACTAATTTACTGTTTCTAAATAACTATCTCATTTCACGGGTATGATGTTTCTTGTCACTACTAATAGGGGGTTTGGATTATTCAGTTGTTTTTCATCATTCTATGTTTAAATACAAAGTAGGGAAGAACTGAGTTCCTTTCAATGCATTATTATTATTGCTTTAAAAAATGAACTGAAAGAAAGGTACAATTAGAACAAAGTACCAAATCATAAAAAAGTATCTATTTTAGTAAAAAATGTAGAAAAATAATTCTTTATCAGTACAAACTATAAATTGTGAATATTACAGTGCAAAGTTATTAAATTGGTTAACCACTTGAAAATCTATTCGTAAAAGTCTACTCATAATTGCGAAAACAATCATAATATGGAAAAAAGTGTAGAACACGAATACTTTACATTTTTTTCTGAAGAAAAACGATACAATAATAACTAGTCGGATGTACTATATAACCACCTAGTGTGATTTACTCATGTACTACGGATGATGGTTGATGTATTCAGATGTGAACCATACTTTAATTATATAAGCGATCAAATATCTTATCCAACTTCCCAAACCGAAATAGATGAAGCGAGATTTGAATTTGTGTTTCAACTACTGGGCAATCAGCCTAGCATTAAAAAGTTTAGAGAATAGAACGTTATAATGTGGAAAAAGGATATCACACTATTCAAATATTAAAGATTGGTAACTGCTGGTTCCACGTATTTACTGAAACTAATTCGAAAACTGTGATTAAGAGAATTCAATTCAACATATACTCAGTAATACAACATCATAAGATGTCCGTGGTGGAACTGAATACACTGCTGATATGTGTAAATGTGAACTTTAACCCCATTAACCAATATTTTTTCATTAGGGCTGCTTCAATTTTTGTCAATTATTTAAGAAAGTAAAGATATAATAGATGAAGAGAAGCGTTTTATACTCGTTCCTAACGGGTAAGTGGATTCTCTCAATTTCCTCCCTTCGATTTTGAGCTTTAAAATTATTTAGCAGTATTTACTCTAAAAAAAATCCATTCTTTCTTTTCAAACCATATTGTTGATGTATAATTTTATGGACTACTACTAATACTATTACTAATTCTTCTACTCTGATATCATGCTGTGTTGATGTAGTGCGACAACTGGCACTGACAACACATAGATATGAGATTTAAGTTTGTATAAGTTACTTTTTTTTATTGAAGAAAACGGAGATCTAAATGAAACAATAATCAATAATTGGAATGAATGTTTTAAAAGCCCTGGAACTATGAATTTTACAAAGATTTCAATCTGAACCGTTGGATATTAATGTAGTCTGTAACAACCTAAGTTTTGACTCGTATCTACTTCCATGAATACTTAGTATCATAAATATATAATGTGACATCTCAAGAATAGTAGAGTTGTATCAGTAAATCATCTAATTATAAGCAACGTGGAACCTAGCAATGTAGTTCGAACCACCAAGAACTAACTCAACTGGCTGTAAAGAAATCAGTCAAAAGAGTTGAAAATATTAACTGGAAGAGATAAACGATAAGGCAAGTGAAAAACATTCGAGATTTAGATGAAATGAAAAACTGTGGATCATCAGTAACTATAACAGGAATTAACAAATAAAAGGGGGTTAGTTTATAATTCATATATTCCAGAAAAAGCATACAGTTTATATAACTTTCCTAGGTTTTAAATTCCCTAAGATTGCTTAATGATGAAATTATTATACATTCAGAGATTTTAGAAGCCATCTCAAGTTAGGGATGGTTGTAAGTGATGGTGGAATACAGGAAGCGAGACTTGTTCTAGCTTCGAGACTTAATGTGAACATCAACACTAGGGTAAAAGCAGATACAGTCGACGAGTCCTAAAAACAAAACGAAACGCGCTTACTCGACCCTTTTCCTATCCATAATCTAAACATATTAGAAAAGTAATAACTAGATACTACATTGCGAAGGATCTGCTTAGGGTGTACATAACATAATAAAGACTGAATAATTATAGGTTGTAATGCCAACATAACGAGGAAACTCAAACCCTCTCACATAAAACATCGAAAACTAATTCGTCAATATTATCAATAAAATTCTTCAGCTGATAATAACATAGGATCCTAAGCAAATAGTAGAAAACTCTATATCAAATGTCAAAGATGAAAATAAATTAAATAAGTACACAAAAATCCAACGAATGTATTGTACTTAGCAAGAGATGGAATTAACTTGTGAAAATGCAATTGAATTCACGAGTCGATCTAAGCTAGACAACCGTTGAAAACATGGGAGCATTGGATGGTTGCTTCGTCTTAGTATGGGACTCCTCATTAGTGCGTATCCACGATCCCATAATAGGACAAAACAGCCGTTCAGTGCTTACAAGTTTTTCATGATGGTCTAGCTTAAATTGACTTGTGAATTCAACTGTAAAAATACTACAATCTTCACAAATCCCCATACTAAAAAGACAATTGTTAAATTACATCGAAAAAATAGAGAAAAAAAGTACAGAGTTTTACAATATCAATCATCATTATTATTTCTGCCCCCAAATGCCCTGGTCCGGCGGAAAATGGGGAAAGTCCGCTCTCCCTCTCCAAATGCTCTCACGTAGCCACGCGTATATAGCCTGTGTCAGGGCAGTCCTACTCACTGCCTTCTCGTGGCATCACTGTTGTTTACGAAATTGAGAGGACGAAAAGCGAATGTCCGGCAATTTAACCGGGTTGGTGGACACAGAAAGTTCACCTAGGAGAGTTGGAAAACCCTGATTTCAAACCAATCGTGCACATGCGCTCCAGGATCCTGATGGAACAAATGGCGTATCAATCAATCGTTGGTCACCATCTACTATGGGACTGCATCTCCTCACGATGCTCTACTGCCTTATCACAGCTCTCACACAAATCGAATGCGATTTGTGTGGCGCATATATATCTGGTTCCTCTTTGTACCAATATTTATGTGTTTATATAAATAAATAAATCATCCGTCTTCTGTATATTGTGTAGCTTCTTGATATTAGAGATATTTATCAGAGAAAATCCAACTAAATTGATCAATCTGAATTTGTTAGTTATGTTATCTCGGATCTCATTAATTGTGTACTTCAACTTTTATCTCAATTCAAGTTTTTGAAAGTACATTTGTAGTTTTTGGATCGAATATCAACTATCTGACCGATTTAACTAATATGTAACTCTGTGGTTTAAACTATAAACGACTTATTTATTTGAATTTTAAAGGTGGATTGTATATGTGTTCTACTAAAAATTCTTATTAAAAATAGATACTTCTTTGTGATAGCCTAATTGACCATATCATCTTCTGCACCAATTGGTGTTCAATAATCATCAGACTTCTTTTCTTTTAATTATATATTGTTTTCCTTCGATATTTTGTTGATTGCATTCATTTTATATAAATGTAGGTTGCTCTTCATAACCGTATCGAATCGATCACTTTACCGATATTCACTTCTCTAAATGGTCAATCTAATAGTACTGTTGTTCTACGCAATTCTTCAACAAATTCAGAATCATCAAATACACATTCAAGTCCAAGTTTGGGTAATAATGCTGGTGGAACCAATACTAAGGATAGTGTTTTTGATTTACAGCCAGGACAATCATTGAATGCGATTATTAGTCATGAATTGAAAGAATTAGGGGTTCATAACCTACGATGTACAGTCTCATATTTTCAAACTAGTTCTCATGGTAAATCGGAAAGTTCATCACATGTGGTAGCATATGAATCTCCACGGTTAACATCAGGTTAGTGTTTATCTATTGTTATCTTTCAAGTACAGTTATGTCTGTGCACTTATTGATAATTAAAGTTTTTGATTTGAACTAAGCTCACAACCCATTCATATTTCAACTAAATTTTGTGTCTACGATTGATCACTGAGTAATGACCGATGTTACATATGTCCAGTCCTTACTAGTACTGGTCAGATTCTATCGATTGAACCCGCCAAGAAATGACATTTGATATTGATTAACTAGAATGTTGCTGAATTTCATTGAGAATTTAATTCAGTATTTTGGTGTATTGTATCATAATAAATTAATTTCGAAGTGTTACATAATCAACATATTAACAGTAAACAAAGGGAAAATATTTATATAAAACGTGAAATTTAATCTGTTACAACTTTAACCGGTGTATACATTTGGATATAAATTACTTACTTACTTACGCCTGTTACCCCTCGTGGAGGAGCATAGGCCGTACACCAGCATTCTCCATCCAACCCTTTCTTGGGCAATCCTTTCCAGTTGTTTCCAGTTGTTATTCATCCTTTTCATATCTTCTATTTCCCGGCGTGATGTGTTCTTTGGCCTTCCTCTTTTCCGCTTCCCTTCAGGATTCCAAGTTAGGGCTTCCCTCGTGATGCACATTGGTGATTTCCTCAATGTATGTCTGATCCTCTTCAGCTGGAAGCTGGTTTGTCCTCTCCCATAAAACGCTGTTACTAATAGTATCCGGCCAGTGAATGTTGAGTATTTTACGTAAAAAACTGTTTATAAATACTTGCACCTTCTTGACGATGGATGTTGTAGTTCTTCACATTTCAGCTCCGTACAGTCGGACTGACTTGACGTTCGTATTGAAGTGGATGCAAATTACAAATGAGATTTTTAGTAACACAATGTTCTACCTTAAAAATGGTAATTTGGAAATTTGCTCTTGTTATTATGATTTCTTCATTTTTGGAAAACGATTGTCTCCTTAAAATCTCTCTTTCTTTTGTCAGGTCTTTCATCTCGTGATACTACTAGTAAACGTGAACCAATTACATTTCAACGCTTATATAAATTTATGGTAGGTTCAATCATTAGTTTATATATAATGAGTTATTAAATTTTGTGATTCAAATTCCTAAAAGAGCTATTTATTTACAATAAACAAATTTAATACCGAACAGTTGGTTTGTGTAACCCCTTATAGTTCAAAATAGCTCTCATCGAAACAGTGTGGTACATAAACGAATACCTAAATCTATACTTGATAAACGATTAGCATCTTGATAACTCAAATGATTGGATTCTATCATCTATTTGTAGCCTTAAATCGTTGTTAATCAAATTCCTCTTTTCGGTAGATACATTGAAGTATGACGTTGATCAAATTAAGACTGCCGAACTAATGAGTTTTAAAATTGTAAAATTAGTATGATGAGATTTAAGAAAAAGTTTTCTTACTTTAAAAATACGAACTTATCTTAGCTAGAATACTACTGGAAACCTGAGAGCACTGGATGTCCGTTTCGTCTTAATGCGAACCTTCTTGAAACAGTGCACATACATGACATCGCATCCAGAAATAGAAACTAGGACCTTCGGTTGAACATTTGAAGGAATTTCACAAATACAATAAAAGAGAATCAATAGAAAATTTTCATTTGAAACATTTTGATGATAATAAAACGAATTAATTATTTCTACCTACAGAATAAGGGAGTTATTCTTTAACCGTCAGTTTAAAGAAAACAATGTGAAGTTTCGAGAAACAGACTCCATCAATCCTCGAAAAGGATGTCGTTTGTATTTGTACATCCATATTCATGTACATTGATGAATTCAACTGCTCATGTAATTCTCACCATACTAGACTCAGCTTCTCATACAAATAAGAGAAAATTTCTCGATTTGGTTATCAATACAGCGAATTATTATTGATACTGTTCAGCTTAATCTATCGACTAGTCTACATATATACAACTAAACACAGTTAAAATGGCATGTGCAAATAAACTGGTTCAGTTGTTTATTTCTCCGTGACATTACAACTAGCCTGTAGGATATTAATATAATTCAGTTCTAGGATGTTATTTTTTTTGCAATCGAGAACTGATCTAAGTTGAATAATCACTGAAAACTAGGGCACACAGCAACTGTCTCATCTTAGTATGGGACTCCTTCAAATATAATCGGAGTTCAAGAGTCTCTATCCGATTACAATCCGTCCTACCTACTTTAAAAGCATTCGTTTTAGGAAATGATATTACTTAGTGGTTATTCAATTTTGTAAAACTAATAACTATTAATTAATAACTTATATACCAGGTACAAATTCATATACTTCGAGTCACAATAGAAACATTAGGGCCAGGGATAATACTCGTTTGCGCAAATCAAATTGAATGAAGTCGAGCTCGAACCTAGAGCTTATTGGCTGAAAGCCGAAAACCATCACTACTGAGCTACCGTTCTGCTACTTAATTAGCAAATCTCTATTGATGAAAATAGATTCCATCTTAATTCCTATTATATAGTTATGATTACATGACTCAGAATCGATCAAAATGGCGTAGGTGTATACACTCTTTATCTTCCCTTAAACCTTAAGATTAAAATTGCTTCATAACGTTCTTCCTTCCTATACTATATCATTATATACAACCTATCTTTTATATATTATCACCACTAAATTAACTATTTCTATGAATTCGGTGTTCATCTTGTTGTGCTAACGAGGTATGGCAACTTGGACCGATGCATAAATGTGCCTGGTCCTACGTTGTAGCCGACTGACTGACTATGATTACATTTAGTATAAGAAGTGATTTTCTTTTAGTTTAGTCAGTAGAAATGCCTTACATTAAAATTCTTTGCGACATCATCATTTCTAAATACATATATATTTACAGGTCAACAAACCTTTGGATGTCCGAAAGAAATTTTCAATAGTTGATGTAAGTTAAATATTTTTTCTTACTGATAGTAATTAGAACCCATCAAATTGATTATATAATTTTTTTAGTGTTCATTCTCATGTTTTACAGTTTTTAATAGTACAGTTATTTTGTTAAACCAACTGCACTTTGTAAGTTATTGTTTGTATGTTTTACTCCTTTTCTCCACCACTCTCTCTTCATACAGTATCATGGTAAATGTTCATTTGAACGTCGTATACCCTTTATTGTTCAAGGTTACTAATTAATAGTAGGATCAAGTATTTGTATACATTTGACTTGCCGATTTGTTGTCATTCACAGTTTAAATGTTCTAATGTGTACTCTGTTGAACTGTTTATTATTTATCCACAATCACAGATTGCTCTATTCAGCTCAAAGTCATGTACACAAGCCTCCACAGGATACGTTCGTGATCTACGCTAGTAACTAATATATATATATATATATATATATATATATATATATATTTCTCAGAAAGGGGTTTTGTTGAGATTTTAGTATTTTTATATAGTTGAGATCATGAGTCAATTGAAGGTAGACCACCATAGAAAACCTGGAAGCACTGGACGCTCGTTTCATCTTATTGTTGGGCTCCTCGGCAGTGCGCATCCACGATCCCGCCTCACGAGATTCAAACCCAGGACCTATCAGTTTCGCGTCTGAACACTTAACCGATAGACCACTGAGGAGTCCCACATTAGGACGAAACGGCCATCCAGTGCTTCCAGGTTTTCCATGGTGGTCTACCTTCAATTGACTCATGATCTCAACTATATAAAAATACTAAAATCTCAACAAAACCCCCTTCTGAGAACTGTATGTATATTGAATAAGATCAAATTTGTCCGAAATTTTATGCTTCCATTAAACAACTATCTGATAGAACAATGTTAATTAATCAATTTTTAATATTATTCTGCATCAATTCGGTTTTAAATAGCAAAAAATAGGCATCTTGTCAATTTTAATTTATATGTTCCTTAATACAATTCACAAGTTATGTTCGATAGATTTTAATTGTCAATATTGACATTTAGAATATGTTACTTTCTATTTCCAAAAAAGAAGCTTTTGGGATTTGATAATTAAAGTATCCTGTTGAATTGTAATTAGATATTAAATGTGCCCCCAAATGCCCTGGTCCGGCGGAAAATGGGGAGAGTCCGCTCTCCCTCTCCAAATGCTCTCACGTAGCCACGCGTATATAGCCTGTGTCAGGGGAGTCCTACTCACTGCCTTCTCGTGGCATCACTGTTGTTTACGAAATTGAGAGAACGAAAAGCTAATGTCCAGCGCTCTAACCGGGTTGGTGGACATGGCAGGTCCACCTAGGAGAGTTGGAAAACCCTCATTCCAAACCAATCGTGCACATGGGCTCCAGTATCCTGAGGGAATAAATGGCGTATGAATCAATCGTTGGTCACCAGCTACCATGTGACTGCATCTTATCACGATGCTCAATTGCTTTTAGGTCAAAGGCTCCGAGTGTGGTCCCCTAAGAAAACCACCTGCTTCAGTTTGGGTACCTGGGTAGTATCACAGCCCTCACACAAATCGAATCAGATTTATGTATCCGGTGCCTCTTTGTACCAATATTTGTGTTTAAATAAATAAATAAAGAAGATATTAATGTTTAGAAATGAAATCCCTAACAAGACGATACTAATTTGTCAGCTTCAACCCTAATATTATTTCATGGTGTTATTCAATATGATCTAAGATTTCATCATGAATGATTCACTTACTCAATCACTGAATAGCTTACTAATTCAGAACTTAACGTAGAAGCTTGTTGCATACTTCCACGTTACATCGGCTATTCACTTTACTGGATCGAAGAACAGACAGTGAATATAGACTTTCTAAATGAATGATTTTTACTTTTATTGATGACTCATTAATTAACTCATAAATTAACTCTTATTCGCTTACTTAGCTAAATGAACATTATTTCTGTTAGTTTGTTTTTGTTACTTTCCAAATGAAGGCAAATGATAAACGAAGTTACCTATCAAAGTTATTTTATACTTCCAAATTATTTGATTGTACTTGATCAAGAAGTATCTATCGATCATTTATGTCATGTCCATTTCAGCTTAATTGTTTATTTCATTAAGCTGAAATCTCTAACGCTCTGAACTCATTGACTAATGACTGTTTATATGTAACTTATGTTAGTTGAGAATTCACTCTATTTATTTAAACATAAATTTACTCATTTCAAACTAGTAGCATTTTTTCCCGATAATGTACATCACGGACTGATCTTAATTGGACAAAAGTTCAAAGCCTGGCAGCGCCGGATATGTCACGTCCTAGTTTGGGACTCCTCAGCAGTTCACATCCGTGACTTTACCGGGAACCTATGAATAGCAGGTCTTGCGGCAACTGGTCAATTTCGAACCACTGAACTGGAATCTAATGGTCCATATATCTGACCACAATAATTTCGCGATGTTGCGCAACAATCCTCTATCGCCTACAGTGAAGAAATGTCTCACATCCGATAGTAGTTTATATTCTAAGCGTTCGCATATAAGACTGAGGATTCTGAATTCAATCGCTGGTAGTGTCATGAACACCCACTGTTTCGGAGTCCCATACTAGTAAGAAACAACTGTCCTGTGCTTCTTGATTATCAGTCGTTGTCGAACTAAGATCAGTTTATGATGTAAAATATAAAAATTCCATCATCTCAAAAACCCCATTTTTTCGCTTTTTATATTACTAAATTGTTCATCTTTTTAAACTTTTCTTCTTTCTCCTTTGGTTAGTGGTTTAGATGTAAAAGCTTTTTTCTCCGGAAAAATTAGCGAATTGGTTGTGTCTATTGAAAGGAAATCTATTGTAATTATATTTAACCATGGTAACTGATGCGTTGTTTTGTTATAACCACTCACGTCAGTCATTTCTTCATATGACCTTTAAGGTTATTCAACCTTTATAGTTCTCCTTCAGGCTGTATCTTTTTCTCGAAGTGCAGTAAAAATTATATATATATATATATATATATATATATATATATATATATATATATCTACTAAAGACCGAGATCCGTATTTAATATCCCGAAACATTGATTAATGGAAAATTAGGTCAGAAGGTAGTCATTATTGTGGCATCCATCATTATGATATCCAATTTTGAAGGGTTGAAAATCACAATGCATGAAAACTCATCAATGTTTATCATGTTAACAGTAAATATGTGCGTATGTGCAAGCGTGTAGAGGTGTATTTATGGAGTCAGCATTTAAAACTTGTAATGGAAATATCATTCACGAGTCGATCTAAGCTAGAACACCATTGAAAACTTGGAAGCACTGGACGACCGTTTCGTCCTAGTATGGGACTCCTTAACAGTGCGCATCCACAATCTCACACTGCTGAGGCGTCCCATAATAAAACGATACAACAACAACTTTGTCGATTCTCTTTTGCAAACTTTGATTGTGGTACAATATCTAGTGCATCATAAAATAGATTCATTTTGTATTATTTTTTCGAACGTGCGACGACTTCAGGAGGGAGGTGACACACTTGTTGGTTGCATGTATTTATTCACTGATATTTATTTTGAAAATCTTATGAATAGTGGTTAATGGATTATGCCGATATTTTTTGACGTTGGGTTTTTGGAAATTGTTGTTAACCACTGATGACACTGAAATGCTTGTCATTGTTTATCCGGAAATTATATTTTGGGTACCATAGTAGTATGTTAGTTTATAAGGGTTAAAGCGATTAGATTAATGCGTAATATCGATTCATGTAGATATTAGCTATTGATTTTAGCCTCTTGGAGTTCATAATCATTAAACTTCTTCATAAGTTCTGAACACTGAAATATTGAGAAACTGACTTCTGTATCGACTTTTTAACTCACACAATCTTCAGCGTTTAAAATCCGAATAAAAAAAGGATACATACTAAATAAATATTACTTCTAATGTTAACTGAATTACAAAAAATAAAAAGTGTTCACAAGGTTACAACCAATCTTAAAATTTTTAGAGGCCTCCCAACATAATGAAGTTGTTTTTTGAATATTTTTGAGATGTTTTCGTAATAGTTTCTTGTTAATGTTATTGACATTGGGGAGTTAATGAAAATTACTAAATTTCCGTCGTTGACATTACGGACTAGCCTTAGCCATACAACCATTAAAAATCTGGGAGGACTAGATTTGTCAGGAGTTTGATCCCCGGAAAAATTGTAGATGCAAACTGCTAAATAATCCTATACTAGGACGAAATAGCTATTTAGGGATTCCTTGTTTTCTAAGTTCAGTACGTGATTTTCACTATTCTAGTTGATATTTTAGTTCTTTCTTTTAAATTTGCTAATTTTGGAGCCCCTGACTTCTGTTTGTGTTCCATCATATTAAAATTTATTGTTCCAATGTTGTATATCAGTAGTCCACTCTACTGAGTATGTGTTAAATCCCGTAGACATCTTCATGATTGATTATCATTGTAAATCTAATCTCTTCCCCTCTTGTTCTATCCACTTTGTTCTGCTAGATTGATAATAGTGTGCTTATGGAAACACAAATTCAAAATCTCACTGTAACTCCAATTATACTTGAACGTGTTTTATTTGAATCAAATCCTCAATTCAGTGTGATTGACTTAAATAATTTACAATTTGGTAAAAAGTAAATTTTCATTTTTCATTTTTTTGTCTTACAAATTGATTCGGTTGATGTTAATGATTGATTGACATTAAAGTTATTCTATTATGTGTTTGACATTTCCTTTGAGAGACATTTTTGTGAATAAGCATTTGGGTGGATTAGATGTAATGTGGTTAGCAGTACAATCCAAGTTGTGTGTTAGGTCCTATTCGGTACTCGTTAGCTGTATGCACTTGCATCCCAGAGTTTATACTTGTATAGAGACTCGAGGTTATTACTATTCGCTTCAAACGCCACTGCGTTATCCACCTAGCTATTGATTTCAAACAACCGCTTACTTGCGAAATGGTTATGTGTTTAAAATTCAGCTTGTAATGGATTGGGATTATCCCGTTGTCGATATTTTCGACTGAAAGCTTATCGGTCTTGGTTAGTATATGTGCATCCCGTGCGAACCATCTCTGTGTAGCCTTGATGGCACAAGCTAGTATGGAACAAATGGAATGTGGTTGAGTAAGTAACGCATTGACGTTAAAGTGAACGGTACTAGGACATCCAAGGTCCCACTAGGGATCGAAGCCCCTTCAGTCGTTTGTATACTCTTCAGTTGCATGATATTAAAGAAAATAAATCCTATATCGAGTATTATTTTAGGTTGTACAGCTCATTCTGTACTGTATAATCATCATATTCAATAGTTATGATGCCATTGATTTATTCGACCTTAACAGATATATATGAGAATTAAGTGAAGCGTCTGCCGTATTCATTCACTTTTATATGTTTACCTCACTTCTCAGATCTCATTCTAACACTCCAACTTATTATTTACAACCAAATGATGTACAACAATTTCTATATCGTTTAATACCAACAACAACCAATTCATTGCCTTTGTTAAATTCATCATCTACCAATTCATCAATACCAGCTTCAACTGTACCTAATCCAATTCCAGTTTCTTCTACAACTACTCGTCAAGTGTCAATATCAGCTGGACGTTTAGACATTACATGGAGATCACTTATGGGTGAAAGGGGACGCTTGCAAACAAGTTCTTTAAAATACGAAGTTAGTTCGATAATTTTAAATAGATAATTTTGGAAGAATTATTATTATATTTAGTAAAGAATCATTGAATTGTGACTTGTAGTGGGCTCCGAGACGCGCGTTTCGTTCTATTTCGGATCCGCCAGCTGGATATACCTTTATATCAGGATTGATGTTCAAGTCCGAATTAAGATAAAATACTCCTGAATTCCACTACTAGTCACAGTCCATCTATTCCATACAAACTTATGTCATAATGACTATATCGAGGCAGTCCAAATATAATGGACGCATTCCAATGAAAGTCGACCTAATTTCCGCCAAAAATATGAAAAATAGGATAATCCAATTCATTTCCAATTGATTGACTGTGATACGTTTTGATGTATTACTGAGTAATTGGATTATATGAATAAGTAAACTTGTAACGGCTGATTTATTTATTTCCTCGATTTTCATTGTTTGGTGTAGGCTGTTTAAAAATTCTCATCATATCACAATGCAGAGATATGAACAACGAATATTCTGATGACAGTTTGTTGTATCTTTACTATTTAAACAAAACAATTCTTAAGTGCTGTTAGAGGTATGAGGACAGTTATCACTTCCCGGTTGCCCACACCTTGGAAGGGTTCTTCTACAGGCACCTGAAAAAAAATGGGTTAGAAGTGGTCTTAGTGACCTGAGAACGTGACCGCAGTGTACAAGGGACAACTGCTCGAGGTCAGTCACACACGACCTTTTTGTGGGTAGTTTTTGTGTTAGCTCCGTTCTTCAAAGGACCTTACCGTCGGAGACGGATATCGGTGGTATAAGGCAAAGTGTGCATTTTTAGGGTCGACCCTTTCTAACCCCACCCCTCCTTGTGGGAAGGCGGCATCACTGTTATGCTGGTTGTCTGAAGGAAACATCTTACTGCCGTCACACCCCTGTACAGTCAGCAGTACGACTTCGCCTTCGGACCTTGAATTTTCTGCTTTTAGTCTTACCGCTCTCCAACCGATCTGTTCCATCCATTTAGGAAAGCTTTATAGGATTGTCATCTGTCGGTCCTTCACGACACCCTGGTTGGGATTCTGCAGAGATTACAACTCACTTGCTTAATATATTATCAAACATAACTCAGAATTAAAACTAGTAACAGTCCTGCTATAATTTTCCTTCACTTTATAAAAGTATGAGGAGCTTCTTTAACGAGAAAAATTCTTTCTGGTTGTATTTGCTTTAAACTGAACTGCTCCTCCTATTATTTTTTTAACTCTTATCCACTTATTTTCGTTTATTTATTGGTTTCTTTTATGCTCACTTTTCTTCCTGAATCTGTTCAACATCTCATTTACCTATTATTTGGTGTATATGTATGTATTTTGGTGCCCGTTTGTACCAATGTTCATGTCTAAATGTGCCTAATAAAATTCAACGTCGAATGACATTTAACACTCAAATCTTATTTGATAACATCTGTTCAGCTTTGTAGGCTAGAAGTAAGCTAAGGGTGACCAAACCAAAACATGAGATCAGTCTCTGAAGTCACTGACAATTGAACTTAGCCCTGTCTATAGGTACAGACTACCTAGTTGGGCCCCACATGATTATCGTAACCATTGGTTAGAGACTTTGAATGACATAGCTCAAAGTCTTTTGCAATGGCGCAGATGCATCCATTCTTTGTCTTCTCCGAAATTCTGAGATTCTTAATCTCTCGTAATTTTTTTTATTTTTACTTCGCTTATTTATATTTTCTTTTTGAGTCCTATCTTCGATGCCTAATCTTTCGTATTACCACTGATACTGTTACTACTTTTACTATTATGAGATTTGGTCCGACAATTTCACCTTGGTGTACTAATGAGGTATGTATCGACGTGGATACATGTAGGTTCTACATTGTAACTGATTGATCATTTGTCAAACATATAACAAATTAGACTTCTCTGGTTTTCTTATTTTGTAAAGTAGTTGTTATATTAGGCGTAAAACTCTCGCTTTGCCAAAGATAACATCACGATCAAGCTAGAAGTATAAAATTATGACATAATCGATAGTAAAAAATGTTTTGGGAGAAGATCATTACTGTCCAATAGATCAGCATTAAAAACAATTCAATTATAAATTATGTAACGTAATATCTCTACTTGAAACTCATTTTGGATTAACAATGAATTGGGACACGATTTATTCAAATGAATGCACTTTTTTTTCACTTTTCCATATCTTTTCAGCTCCCTACTTTTGGTGATATCCAACTGAGGGTTTTAACTATTCCATCCACTGTGACAACAGAACAACCATTCACATTAAAGTTTGAATTAACTAACTGCAGGTATATCACATACTTTATTATTTTGAACAATAGTTTAACTCCTGTCAATCATAACTACTGAAAATAATAAGAAGGTTAACGATATGAAATGTGTCCTTATTGATTGATTACATCAACTAGTGTTCACCAGAATTATTCATTTAGTTTAACTATCGACGACTATCACTCATTTTATTTCAAATGTGTATCTTTTTCTGGTCAGTTATAATAACTTTGATAGATGTTAACTAATCGACTTATAGTACGTTGACTCTATATACATAGATATGCCTTTAATTGACTTAATGCAAAACACTTGATCATTTTATTGAAACGTTATGGATCGATATTATGAATGAATCTATACTAGACGCGCACTAAAGATTTGGACAGCTATTTCGTCATAGTATCCATTCAAAATAGGCTAATGAAAAAGTGCTCTCAATAATAAAGGTGACCATCAAAAAGGAGCATATAAATAAATGTGAGCATTGAAAGAGGGAATAATATGTGGTGGTCGATATTCGGTACTATCCCTAAGCTTCGTATATTGTTCGTCTTGATAACCGTTACTCGACAACGTCCTAACGATGTATAAATCAGAAGACGAATACGAAGGGTTGATCGTGTTTATTGCTGAACCACACACAGTTATCCAATATTACAGGTACGTCAAACAAGCATGAAAAAGCAGTGCCATAGAGCCGGATGAATGAGTAAGCATATACAGTACGGTGTAGCGTAATACAGAGCAGAGCAGAGAGCAAGCAGGGCAAGAGCAGTAGAGCAGTAAACAGGATTAAGATGTACATATATATATAAGCGGAAAAGCATGAATCATCGGATCAAATAAGCGATTAATAATAATGCTAGCGGAATGAATATATGCGTAGGCAGTAAGCAATGTTCAAGCGTATATAATAAAAGTATAATGGTATAGATGGGTTGTTATTGTATGAATGACTGTCCATTAAATAAGTTAACAAAAGGGCTTAGCTAAATTAGATGTAAACAAACTCAATTGTATCTGAGTTGCTATAATAGCTCCCCCCCAGCAAACATGGATACAAAATAGTGTCTGTGTTTGCGAATAAAAAAAATGTTAAACTTAACAGGACAGTAAATATCAAAATTTATGAAATTAAGATGTATGATAGAACTATCGTGTGAGTTACTACAAGTACGTGAAAGTTTGTTTTCGTATATATCCGTGAGGCCAGATAAAATAACAGATCAAAATAATGTGTTAGCGTTTTTAGAGGTTTATATACATTGACATTAGAATATGCAAAATTTTCTGAATATAATAATAGATAAATTAGAGTTTTCGATGTGCCCATACTAAACGAAGAGGAAAGAAATTATTAGTTCAAAATCGTAGCTATGTATCGTTGAGGCCATCTTACTCTTCGACCATATCTTGTCGTTACTGGTTTCTCTTCGTTTTTGTTCGTCGATGTCGTTGATGATTGAGACTCACGTTTCGGTGACTCGACGATTTTCGAATGATCTGTATATACTGGCTGATCGTCAGCTTCGATAAAAGCTGGTTTGACTCGGTCTATGCTAATTACATCCGTTTTTCCGGCCTTATATATTGTAATAGTTTTATCATTTCTTCTAATAACTTTAAATGGACCATCGTAAGCTGGTTGTAAGGGACGCTGCACATTATCCCTTCTAATAAACACATGGGTACTGTCGCTCAGTTGTTTTGGTATGTACACACGTTGTTGATGTTGCCTCGGAAGTGTTACTCTTAGATTACTCATATGCTGCTTTAGACGTTGTACATAGCTGGCTAAATCAGTTGGAACACTTTTACTTGAGGTGAAAAATTCTCCTGGAAGACGTAAAGTGGTTCCATAAACCAACTCTGCTGGGCAGCATCCTATATCTTGTTTAATAGTTGATCTTAAACCTAACATGACTAATGGGAGCTTGCTGGCCCAATCATTATTGCTAATAACAGATGTAAGAGATGCTTTGAGTTGCCGATGTAATCTTTCTACCATACCATTCGCCATCGGATGGTAAGATGTTGTCCGAATACGCTTGATTCCTAGGAGTTCAGTGAGTTGTTGAAAGAGGTGGCTCTCGAATTGGGCTCCCCGATCGGTTGTAATGTGTGCAGGCACACCATAATGAGAGATCCAATGCTCTACTAAGGTTTTGGCTATAGTTTCGGCCGAAATGTCTTTTATGGGTACTGCTACAGGCCATCGCGTAAATCTATCAATGCAGGTAAAAATATAACTAAAGCCGTTTGAAATCGGCAGCGGTCCTACAATGTCAATATGTATATGCTCAAATCTGCTATCAGGATGACGAAAAGGACCTATTGCGGAACTGGTGTGACGATGAACTTTAACTTTTTGGCATTTTATGCAAGCTTGCGTCCAATTACGAACATCCCGGTTCATACTTGGCCATACAAAACGTTCGCTGATTAATTTGATTGTGGCCTTTATCCCAGGATGTGATATGTTATGCATAGTGTCGAAAACCCTTCGTCTTAGAGGCTTCGGAATAAATGGTCTTGGTCGGCCCGTAGAAATATCGCACATAATACTCACGTTTTCGATTGAAGTTTCTTTTAGTACCAGAGAGGTTGTATTGTCAGACTTCAGTCTGTTTAACTCGACATCTATATTTTGTAATTCTGCTAATTCGCGATAATCGATTTCGGATTGGACGAGAGTATTTATCGTTGTTCTTGATAGTGCGTCAGCTACTTCGTTTTCTTGGCCTGTAATATATCGTATATCCGAAGTGAACTGGGAAATAAACTCTAATTGTCTGATCTCCCTCGGAGAGTAATTATCTTGCTTTGCGCTTAGTGCGTTCGTGAGTGGTTTGTGGTCTGTGTAAACTGCAAAATCTATGCCTTCTACCATATGTCGAAAATGTTTTATTGCCAAGTAAATTGCTAGTAGTTCTCTTCCGAAAGTACTATATCTCGTTTGCGTAGGATTCAGTCTCTTTGAGAAGAATGAAAGCGGTTCCCATGTGCCATTCACTAACTGTTGTAAAACAGCTCCTACCGCCACATTCGATGCATCTGTCATGATAGCTAACGGTGCTTCGCTCTTTCTTCTAGCTAATGTCGTCTTTTTGTTGAGTGCCTTCTTGGCGTTCTCGAAGGCCTGTATTGCCTCTGCTGATAATTGGAATGTCCGGGAGTGTCCCCGTAACGCATCGGTCAGTGGTTGAAGTATTGCCGCACAATTCGGAATAAAACGTCTGTAATAATTTATTAGTCCCAGAAATCGTCGTAATTTCTTTCGTGTATCGGGCAATGGATAGTCTCTAATGGTATCGATTTCTGTAGAGATCGGTGTGATACCTTGAGAAGTTACCATGTGTCCAAGGAACTGTAAGGATCCTTTTCCAAACTCACACTTCTCAATGTTTATGGAAATACCATGATCTCTTAGTCGCGCGAATAATTGCCGTAGTTGCTGTATGTGGTCGTCCATAGTGGTGCTGGCTACTAGTAAATCGTCTATGTATGCGTATACTCCAGGTAAGCCTCTGATGACCTGGTCAATAAACCGTTGAAATGTTTGTGCTGCATTAGTCAGTCCGAAAGGCATGCGTAAGAATTCATATAGCCCAAAAGGGGTTGTTACTGCTGTTTTTGGTATGTCTTGTGGAGCGACCGGGATGTGATAATACGCTCTAACTAAGTCAATCTTCGAGAATACTGTAGCACCTTCTATACTGTAGGTAAAATCATGGATGTGTGGTATAGGGTATCTATCGGCCATTGTTTGCTTATTAAGTGCTCGATAGTCTCCACATGGTCTTAATTCTCCGTTCTTTTTCGGAGCCATGTGTAATGGGGATGCCCACGGGCTGTTCGAAGGCCTTATTATGCCCAGCCTCATTAACTTGTCGAATTCTTGCTTTGCTATTGCTAGCCTTTTTGGGTCTAATCTTCTTGGCCTTGCATTAACCGGTGGCCCGTTGGTTATAATATGGTGTTGGATAGTATGCTTGAGATCTGTTTTATTGTACGTTACTTTTAAAAGTTCTGGAAACTCGTTTAACAATAATTTGCGTGGGTCGTTGCGGCTCTTATCTACCACTAGGTTCATAGAAACAGATTCTGTAAGTATTCCCGTAATCGAAGTAGTATGGGTACCGTTTATGAGTCTGTGGCGCCGTGAGTCTACTAGTAAATTGAAATTGCATAAGAAATCGATGCCTATTATAGGTACCGATACGTCTGCTATGACAAAATCCCAGCGGTATGTCGCGCCTCGTCCGAAATTTAAGGATAACATTCGTTTGCCATATGTTTTAATATCTGATTTATTCGCCGCTTTTAGAACCAATGAATTGTTAAGGTTTCTTTTGTCGTCACATACTGGGGGTACTACGCTAATTTCAGCCCCCGTGTCCACCAAGAATTGAGTGCCTGTCATTCGGTCTTGTATATAAAATAGGCGGCTGTTTGAGGGCTTTGTGTTCGCTGCAGGCGTTGCCATGGACAACCGAGGGTACCGCTTACTTGCCGTGCTAAATCTACAAGGTTGTAAGCATTTTCTTGCTCTGTAACCATACATTTGATGATACCAACATATCAGAGGAGTTGCGCGTCTTCTGGAAGCTGATCGGCTTCTCTCGCGCGTGCCAACTCGTGATAATTTTCGTGGTCTCTCGCTCTGGGTCAACTCTGTGAGCTTGTGGCATAAAACATCTATCTCTTTCTGCAGAGTACTGATTCTATCGTCTACTGTCACGCTGTGTGATTGAGGGCTTGCTTGTTTTGCCCTTTCGTATATTCTATCAGCTATTTTCGCTATGTTGTCTATGTCAGCGTCAGTATCTCCAACAGCTAAGATTTGCTGAATACTGGACGGGAGTCGGCGAAGCCACAGTTGATAAAATAAGTTATTGTCTATTTTTCTATCACCTAGTAGACTTTTCATATGAGTTTTTAACTGTGATGGTGTTCTATCCCCCATTTGTACCTGGTTGAGAAGCTGCTCAACAGCTTGTTGGTCACTTAGTGCGACTGCTTTAATTACTGCCTGCTTTAGTACATCGTATGGCCTTTCAGTATCCGGTTTAGATAACGCCTCTCGTACGCTTTCTGCTACTTCGTCTGGGAGGAGAGTGCTTGTGAGGCCGAATTTATCTCTTTGTAAGTTAATACGACTAGCCAGAAAATAGTTTTCGAGTCTAATGAACCACAGCTGAGGGTCGGTAACCTTAAAAGAGGGGACTGGAAGGTTGAAAGTTCTCACGGACGAAGTTTGCTGTACACTTGACATAGTGTTTTCGGAAGACATGCTTACAAAAAAAATTTTTGAGTAGTACACAAATATGATATAGATGTCACAAAAAAAATAGACGGACAGAAACAATGATAATAATAAATGGTACAATTTATAAAATGGAACAGACTTACTAAATCGCACCAATATATCAATTGTTTGTGAATGATCGTTATTTAGTATGAATATAATCGTTAAGTTCAATGTTTGTGAGTTAGAATCTAATAAATCCACAATTATGATTATGATACAAATAATAATCCGATTTGAGACGCAGCGCTTTGAATTTTCGGGATTAGATTATATCGTCGAAAATTATTTTGTGATCGCTCGGCGAGGCTTCCAATGTTGTGGTGTTGTGCTCGTACGGCGAGGCCTCCAATTCTTTGGTGGTCGATATTCGGTACTATCCCTAAGCTTCGTATATTGTTCGTCTTGATAACCGTTACTCGACAACGTCCTAACGATGTATAAATCAGAAGACGAATACGAAGGGTTGATCGTGTTTATTGCTGAACCACACACAGTTATCCAATATTACAGGTACGTCAAACAAGCATGAAAAAGCAGTGCCATAGAGCCGGATGAATGAGTAAGCATATACAGTACGGTGTAGCGTAATACAGAGCAGAGCAGAGAGCAAGCAGGGCAAGAGCAGTAGAGCAGTAAACAGGATTAAGATGTACATATATATATAAGCGGAAAAGCATGAATCATCGGATCAAATAAGCGATTAATAATAATGCTAGCGGAATGAATATATGCGTAGGCAGTAAGCAATGTTCAAGCGTATATAATAAAAGTATAATGGTATAGATGGGTTGTTATTGTATGAATGACTGTCCATTAAATAAGTTAACAAAAGGGCTTAGCTAAATTAGATGTAAACAAACTCAATTGTATCTGAGTTGCTATAAATATTTTCACTTATGTGAAATATGTTCAATTTTTTCTCTGTTCCTTTTGTCTACGATTATCGCCAGAAAAGTGATTTACTAAACCTTTTGGTGAAGAGTTCGCCTGTAATAAACACTGTAATTGTCCCAATTCGGTATTAAATTGTTTTTTTTTCTTACTTTAGTCATGTTATGTCTCGTATGTATATTTCGAACAGCTAGAGGATTGTCTTTTAAGAGGGGTGTTTTGAAAACCTGAGGGAAAAATTCCTGATGAATTTCATTTTGAATAAGTTATAAATGCTAAAAACATACCTTCCTCTTAAGATTAAGAAGTCGCTCGGCATTGTTTATTATATGTAATCCAGAAAACTGTTCTTTGTGCTGTCCGGAGGAACTTAATGAACTTTTATCCTGTAGATTATTGACATCTGTTGTAATAAGAGTTAAATACTTATAATAATTAATTTTTTAATCGAGTTGTAAGCTCTCGTTAATTTTTTTCAACTAAACTCCGAAATAAAATGAAAACGTGTAAATTCGAAAAAAGAATAAAAGGTTTACTTCCAGAATTAGTATAATGACAGCAAACGAAGTATCGTATGATTCATCTTGTGCTGACGCTGAGGACTGCAAGTGATCAGTTTCTTATTGGCATATGTGCATTCTGTGCAGATTGTCTCGATATTGCATTATCAACAGAGATACATGGTGTCTAGTAATGGAATCCTGGACGCAAATTTCGCACTATCTGGGGCTCGTCAGTTGACGCGTTTGTTTAAACTAAAATTTCCTGAAAAGACAGTGATTGGGGCGAAATTGGTTTTAGGAACTGTACACAACTCCTCTAAAATAACGTTTTTGTAAATATTGCATAATTAATGAAATTATATTCCCTTCTGATATATTATTGACATGTAGGTGAAATTTCCTCATAATCTATGAACTATTAATTATGTTGTTATGGACCAGTGGATGTCGATCCTCCACAATTAACACTTGGTTCAGGTTACTATGTTATGAGTTGACTTCATTCACTTTTTCCATTCAGTTCAAACGTCGATGCTCACATTTTCGATTTTCTCGTTTCTTGTTCTCTGGCTTCTTTATTCTAACCACTACTTACCTCGGCGCACGATGCTGGCTGGTGTCATAGTAGGTTGGAATAAGGCTAACAGCAACCAAACTAAAACATGGTGTCAGTCTCTGAAGTCATTGACATTTGAACTTAAGTATGTAAGTGGGTATGGATTACACGTAGTTAGGGTTCATGTGATTATCGTAATGGTGTTTTTGCATTCATTTTTTATCTCCATCTAGATCCTGAATTTCAAAATTACCTCATTTTTATTCTATTGGTTCATTCTTTTTCCTGGAATCATATTTTCGATGCTGAATTTTCTCTGTTGCTACTGTGTTCCTAATTCTTAATACTCGAGGATTCATAATTATTTCTTTGTCCTAACATGGTATAGCAAATTGATTCGATGCACATATTTACCATTTTCTATGTTGACTAAATATAACTAACTTATTGACTATTGAGATGGTGGAGAAAATTTGTAGCTCAGGTGGGTGATTTTGATGGAGTTTTGTTCTTTGAGCTGGATGATTTGGTCGTGGAACTTTCATTGTCCTTCTGAACAACATGCTGATGATGTCGTTCAAAAGGGCGATGAAAGCACCACGACCAAACTATCCAGTTCAGCGAACAAAACTCCATCAAAATTATTGACTATTTTTTTACTATCCCCTCTCGTTCAATTATCATCTTTTTAACACAATTCGTTTACTTATCATTGTTGTGTTTGTTTTTTATTTACTAACATAGTAAAATGAATTTAGACTTGATACTTAGTCTATGCTCAACTCAATATAATAGTTCTTCTTCAATTCCAATTCAATCAATTATGAATGAAAACGAAACTACCTCTAATAATGATCATAATGATAATAATTCAATTCAATTAACAAATAATTATTTACCATTAATTGTTTGGTTAAGTAAAACTAGACAAAAACTTGGCAAATTATTACCTGGTCAATGTATACCATTTGAATTGAATTTAATGGCTACATTACCTGGATTACATGTAAGTGAAGTATATAAAGTTTAGTTTTGTTGTTCTCTATGATTTGTTTGTTTGCGTATTAAGAAGTATAAGTTGTCTATTGTTGTTGTGTGTTTGTTTGTTTAAAGAGTGAATACCTGTTACACATATCTATAAAGGTCATAACATTTTGTTTAAATGAAATCAGTCAGTCAGTTACAACGTAGAACTTCGTACATACGTACATCAGTTCGAGTTGCCATATCACATTAATGCAGAGAGTTGCAGTTGTCGATTCAAATCCCATAGTGGTAGAGTTAGTAAGAGTATTAGCAGTAATCGGAAAGATTAGGGTTTGAAGATGTTATTCAAGGAGTATAATACAGTGAAATAAATTTGGAAAGAGAAAAAAATAGGGATATGAAGAATTCAGAAGATCAGAATTTGGTAGAAAATAACCTCTTTTAATACATATACATATGTACAATTTATAAAGTTTATTAGTAGTATTTACCCCTCTTAAATACTGGATACATTTCTATATCTAATCCCCTCTCTTTGCATAAATGAACTTGGTGTATTTGGTATATTTTTTTTGGAGTAGTTCACATTAAAGAATCAATATGTTATCCCTACTTACTTACGTACGCCTGTTACCCCTTATGGAAGGGTATAAGCCGCCTATCAGCATTCTCTAATATGTAATCCTATTTAAGAAAAATAGTTTGATTTAAAATTATTTATGACTTTTAGTTGTGTTTATGTAATAAATAAGACAATGATAATTAAAACAAAGATAGTTTGGATTCACTTAGTATTGTTTGTTTGAATCTTCCCATTGATATTCTTAGGACTTCAACTGGTCAGTCTCTTATTGACATATGTGCATACTGTGCGTGTTGCCTCGATAAAGCCTTAATTCACAAGTATTATAAGCAAAGATGGATAATGGATAGCAATGGAACCCAAGACCCGCGTTTCGTCCTATTTGGAACTCGTCAACTGGATGTATATATATATTCGACAGTTCATTAGTAGGACGATATTAACATCTCGAATCCAATTGATATCTACGTCATCGTCTATACCTATGATGTGTATAACGTCTACACAAAAGCTATATTTTCAAACCTTATCATTTTACATAGTTTCAAATTATCAAATATTATGATAACAAAGTCACAGCTTCAATGTTGAAATCATCATTCAACTTTTAACCGTTACTACTAATACTGTGGTAGACACTACTCACAAGATTGCTTATAAGTAGTATGTACCACAACGTTGCGTCGAAATTTTCGTAGTCTTCAGACTAAGAGAAGACTTTCAATACATGGGAAGAGTGGCATAAGCAGAACAATTAATAATTAGACGACGAGACATTTTAGATTGCACAACACACCGCGTACGGTGCAAATGAATGATCGAAGGCTATGTACACATACTAAATAAACGTTCGATAATTGTTCACAATAAATTTTGATTTCTTCTATCCATTAGTTTGTTTTGCACTAGCACTACGACTACTAGCGGTAGTAGTGATAGATCATAGATTCACACTGCGGTCCACTTAGTTAAGTTTAAGCGACCGATCTCGTACACAATTGAAATGTGTGTCTATGTGTATGTACGTTGCTCAATGTACTTGTACTGAATTACAAATTTAAATGATGTATCATTTATTCATGATAATAATAATAATAGTCTTTTCTGTTTTCTTTTTCTCTTGATATCAGATGATTTCCGGTTTATGCATTCATGATTTAACAATGAATCGTGATTATGAATTTAATAATTTAACCCATGTTCTTGTTTTTAACAATAGTGCTGTTACAGCTTAATTTCCCTCTCTTCCCCCCCTATCTCTCTCTCTTCACATCATCTTAATTGGTGAATACTATGCATACAAACTAATATGTCAATAATAACTACCATGTATATTACAGTTTTGGGCTTCTCTTTCTGATTATCACCTTACATTTTAGATGTTGCTGAAGTTCTTTTGTTTTTGTTTTTCTTTCATTTACATTTGTGTTTTGTTGTTTAAAGTTGATTTTGGACCCATTATTTATACTTTGTCATTTCATATTCTATGTATACAGTTATTTGTTTGGTTATCAATTCAATGAACAATATTGTACCTATCATAACAATAAATATATTTGTTATATCTTGTGGCCGAATGGATGCCCAATTAATGTATGACTTGATAAAACCGCCAATCAGAGAGCAGCGAGTTATCAATTGGAACAGTGACACATGGAAACCGTACGAGCAGTCTAGAGTGCTTATCGGTCCTGCTTTCTGCTTAGCCCAACTAGTTAAGTCCAGAACACTAATAACAGCCTCTGCAATATGAATCGTTGTATTTCAAACATAATGAGTTTATATACCAAACAGACTGACCACAACGTACGAACAAAATAGAAAATAATATTTGTACAAGATTTAGCCAAATGTGTCTGTGAATGTGGAAGGCAGTAATTAATAGGCTAGGGATAACTCAAGAATAGTAAATCGTATAATAATAGTCTATAGGTCAAAATAAAGCTTATATTAAGAGGAACACAAATATGAGTCGTTTCGTTATTTAGCAATTATACGATAAAAAATATATACATAATACGGGTCCATAAATTGATCCCAAAGTTACCATTCACTATTGTTATCGGGACATAACAATATTCGAATAGATTGTCGTTGGTTTTTCCCTCCCATTTTCTTGTCTATTTGATTGATTTTTTAATCAATAAATCTTATTTATTCACTCATTTTGATGTATTACCAATTCGTAGGTTTAACTTTAATTCTTCGGTTATACAAATTAAAGTTGGTTGGGTTAGGATTTGAACCTGCAACTTAATGATTGAACATCTTAATGTATTTACAATATCCCAAAGAGTGGAAACACAAAAAAATGTTCCTTTGTATTATTGATGACTTCCCGACCGTTGCTGCTACCTTGACGTGGTGGTCGGGCTTGCCTATCGTGATGAACCAATCGAGCTATATTGGTTGGAACAATCGTTCCTCAAGGTCCTATTATGCCAGGCAGGTCGGTTGAAGAGCTGTAAGACTAAAAGCAGCAAACCCAAGGTCCGAAGGCGAAGTCGTACTGCTGACTGTACAGAAGTGTGACAGCAGTAAGGTGTTTCCTTCAGACGACCAACATAACGTAGATGCTGCCTTCCCAAAAGGATGAGTAGTGTTAGAAGAGGTCGACCCTAGAAATGCACACCTCGTCTTATCCCACAGATTTCTGTCTCCGGCGGTAAGATTGCAACAAGTACGAAGCTAACACAAAAACTGCCCACAAAAAGGTCGTGTGTGACCGACCTCAAGCAGTTGTCCCTTGGGCATTGCGGTCACGCTCCCGGGTCATTAAGACCAATACAATTCGGACTTCCTTTTTAGGTCCCTCATGAAATACCCTTCCACAATATGGGCAGCCAGGAATTGATATTATCTCTCATACCCGTAACTGCACACGATTGATGACTTAATTTTCGATCAATCGATGGTACTGCTTTACTTTAGACTACAGTTTACTGATACTGATTTGACAAACGTTTTCAAGTTGATCGATAATTTCTTTGGAAATAAAAAAGGAACACGGAATAGTTTACTGATAATGTTAAGGCTTATTCAAAATCATTTATAAATATAACAGAGAAATTAGGATCTTTAGAATTCTACGCTTCCTTGTGTTAATTCTTATGTTTTTATGACCTGAAAGTATAACATATAACTTTGTTTAGACTGCTTCTATAAATAAGGGAAATAAAATTACGCAAACAAATGGTGAATGTTTATAAAACCAGTCATAATCAACGTACAACCTTAGATTTACAGTAGAGTATTAATTTACGTTGAAACGATACATTAACAAGGCAAGATGTAATAGATATAATGCACACAAATGCCCTGGTACGGCCGAGATTGGGGAGGTCTGAACCTCTCTCTCGAAGTGCTCTCACACGGTCACGCGTATACAGCCTCTGCCAGAGGAGTCCTACTCACTGCCTTCTCGTGGCACTACTGTTGTTTACGTAATTGAGAGGACGCAAAATGAATGTCCGACGCTTTAACTGGGTCGGTGGACACGGAAAGTCCACCTAGGAGAGTTGGAAAACCCTCATTCCAAACTGATGGTGCACATGGGCTCCAGTATCCTGAGAGAATAAATGGTGTATGAACCAATCGTTGGTCACCGGCATCCATAGGACGGCATTTCCTTATGATGTTCCACTGCCTTGTGAGTGTGGCTCCCTAAGAAAACCACCTCCATCGGTTTGTGCACCTGGGCAGTATCACAGCCCTCACACAAATCAAATGAGATTTGTGAAGCGCATATACATCTGATGCTTCCTTGTACCAATTTTTATGTGTTTATATAAATAATATGTATATATATAAATATGGTATGAAAAACAGTCTATTTATAGTCCGTTACGTCTACAGATTGTGTTAAATTATCCATTAAATTTAAAAATAAAACATACCCATAGTGATTATAATACTCATAGTGATATTAAAAAAACAACAACGTGAAACTAACCGATTTTTCTTTCTATGATTTATAATATTTCAAATCTGTTGGCTAAAATAGACAAATAAAGAGGGTATATATAAAAAGAAAACCCAATCTAATACTTAAATTTGGTTTGTAAATGGGAGGAAAGAAAAAACAAACATAGTCTGGAAGAAAAATAGTTGCCATTAATTTCTATTTTTAAAATGTTGATTTTTTTGTTGTTGAGAGAGAGAAATGTGTCCGCTCAATCACAATGCAACATAAATATACATTGAATTAAGTATTTCCGCCTGTAGCTCCTTTGGGAGCTACTGCCGGTTTCAAGCCCGGGTAAAGGAGGAGGGTTGGGCATGGGGTTAACGACCCCATCCCGTAGAAAACCAACTCGCTAGAAAAACGCTAACCAGAAGAAAAAAATATTTCAATCCAGATAGTATATACTATATGCCTTTCTGTACAGTGTACACGTATCTAAGAAACAATTTACAACGTGTAGTGTGTTTTTCTAAGTAATATGGTAGAATAAGACCAACTTTACAACAAAAATGAGTGAAGAAGGAAAATATCAACTTCCGGTTTGAAGATTACTTACGTGTGTTATCCGTCGTGGTGGAGCATAAACCGCTCACCAGCATTTTCGATCAAACTCTGCTCTGGACAATCCCTTTCAGTTGCTATTCATCCTTTTCATGTCTGCTTCCAATTCCCGACGCAGTATGTTCTTTGGTCTTAAACTCTTTTTGCTTACATCCAGGATCCCAAATTTAGGCTTATCTCATGTTTCAGTTTGATGGTTTTCGTAATGTAAGTCCCATCTTCACCTCCAACGTCTTATTCTAATTCCCTCCTCAGATGGAACCTGGTTTGTTCCCTCCCACAGTAGGCTGCTGCTGATGGTATCCGAGCAACGGACATTCAATATCTTACATGGAAAATTGTTTATAAATACTTGTTACTTTGTGATGATGTTTGTGGTTATTCTCGAAGCGTCAGCACCGAACTGTCTTGATATTCGTATGAAGATTCTCACTTTGATATTGGTTGACAGACAGTTGTTTTGAGCTCCATATGTTCTTCAATTGTAGGAATTCTGCTCTTGTTTTGCCAATTCTCACCTTCACCTCTGCATCCGATCCTCCATGTTCATCGATGATGAATGTTTCCACCTGTTCCAGAGCTTCTCCATCAATCGTGTTGGTGTTCTCCGTGTTGTATCTGAGGACCTTGCTTTTACTCTTGTGTATATTGAAGCCTACTGCTGCAGAGGCTACTCTACCGGTCGATTAAGTTTTAACGGATGCCTATATCATCCTTCATTAAAATCACTTAGAAATAGGTCAATTTTTCTGTTTACCTCAGGTCTCGACCAAAAGATTAATAAATTCTATAAACGTTATACATTAGTAGGCATTATTTCGAATGGATTATTATTAGTTAGTTATCAAATAAGAAATTAACGTATAACGGTGTTGACATGTAAAATTGAAGATTTTGTGCTGTTAATTGATCAGGTTAATCTTTTTAGATCAATTAGTTATGTCATTATACTTAATGGATTAATCCTTTCCGTCATTTTTTCTTTCATAATAAGAATAAACTAGACTATTTCAATATTCCTTCATTCATCAATCAAAAGTTGAATCATGAAAGTAAAGAACATATCTCAACTGATACCGTAGTATGTAATCCGAGATCTCTACACTATACACATCAATAGTTCTAGATCTGATTAGGAAATAGGTCAAATAATCTAAACTAAATTTATATTAAATCATGTTATTGACTATTTAGTAACTCCACCTGTAGCTCTTCTAGAGTCGGTCTCAAGCTCGGGTAAAGGAGGAGGGTCGGGCATGAAGTTAGCAACCCCATCCCGTAGAAAAACTAGTATTCAAGTCATCTTGATGTTTTTCGCTAACCAATTTGCCCAAAATAAAACTAGCAATCAGTTTTAACTACTATTTTGTTCAGCCATATCAGATTTTATTCACTGATACAATTGTGGTGTATGTTACTTATGTCAGGAAACATAAATAGTATGTAACATCAGTCGGAAGTGAAAAAACCTAGAAGCAGAAGTTTAAGATAATCGGATCGAAGAAAATGGAAACAGAGAATAATTGTTATTCCACTGAAGGAACGATGAAGTTCAAGACAATTGGTGGACAATTTGCAAATGAAGTACTGAACGTATAGTTTTCACATTTGATGACAGTACTCTTTAATTTTGTATTAAAATACATTAGTTGACCTCATCTGTGTTTTCATTTACAACATAATGACAGATTCAGTGGATTTTCTACTCTA